AAAACAAAAAAAAATCAAAAAAAAAAAAAACCATACCTGAATTAAGTAGTAGAGGATGGCTAGTGGGACCACAACAGTGAGCACTATTGGGGTGCTGTAACTGATCACAACTATGGAGGCCGCAGCATTAAATGCTGTCACGAAGAAGTATATGAGGGTGTAGGGAATGGTGCCATCTATGACATCAATATCTTTGGCGAACCGATTGGTGATACGACCAGTAGGAGTGGTATCAAAGAAGGACTGGGGATATCGCAGAACATTGGTGAGTAAAGTATTGTGTAGCCTTCTCGAGCCCCAGAGTATTGCAATGGCAACAATAAGAGATTTAATCACCAGCACCAAACCTGCAATTTGAAATTTGAATTCATGCAGCTTTCAGATCAGCATAGTGGTTACATGGAACTGTATCCAGTAAATCTGTTTTTACAAAATATGTAAACAAGAGTATTAAAAGCAGAAAAATAAAACTTCATTTAAAATATTCCACCTACCTTCTGCTACTGCAATTGCTCCATAAACACCAAGTCTGAGATCTCTTTGAGCAATGTCTACAGTTCCGTTGATGGTTGGGTCATTACTCCACTGACTCAGCCACACATTGGAGTATATTTCTGCTGTGTCCTCTAGAACATGAAACAGAATAACTGCTATGGACATCCAAACTCCTACAGCCTTTATGTAGGCAATAAACACGCCAAACTTTACCTAGAATAGAAAAATAAAAGAAATAAATACAACAGCTTAGCTTACACTATAATTCATATACATGAAAAGGTTCACCAAATGTTTCAGATAATTCAGTTTGTTTGATGAAAACACAAATTTAAATAATGCTTTTCTTCAATTTATAAAAATGTTACTTCAAAAGGATTCTTTTACACTTTAGCTAAACCAAAAGTTCACAAAATAAAATCAAGAGTAATACCACACAGTGACTAAAAAGACATGCACCACGAATAATTTCTACTAAAAAAACAAAAATTAGTTACAGGTATCTAATTCATTTTCTCTTAAATAATCACAATCTGTCTACAGGGGAAATACTGATATACTCTATGTGCATATCCTAAAATAGTTTAACGATAGCAACATACCTTTAATAATTAACCAGCTTCAAAGTCTTTAATACATAGGACTTTATATACTTACTCTACCAGTCTCTGCCGTTTCATCTTGTATCAACCTTCCTGCATCACTATCAGGCTCACTTTCTGGTGGTGGTGGTATACACAATTCGACTTCTTCTAGCTCTGATACTTGTTTTGATATCTGCCGATTAAAAGCAATGAACTGTTGATCTTCATCCTTTTCTTCTCTGGGAGATAAGTGTCTTGGTGAAAGATCTTCCTTGGGATGTAAGTTTCTTGGTGAAAGATCTCGTGGGGATGCTGCTGCAAATGAATGTTATCTTTAGGTTAAAACTGAGTCTAAAAATAATAAAGAATGCTTTATAATACAAATAAATAATCATGAACATAACTATCCCTACTTAAAACCAAAAAATTACATACTATTTAGAAAATGCAATATAATATTTATATACTTACGGATGCTCAATGTATCCTTGGACAATGTATCTGCAATATGCAAACTGGTTCTGCTGGCTGCTAGCTCACTTTTTTGTCTGAAATACAGCAATCAAGTGAAACAGATATCAAATTACTTACAGTAATTTAATCTTATTATCAAGATAAAAAACTCAGAGACTAACAAAAAATTAAAAAAATCTACATTCACTTTTGTCATAAATAGCTACATGGCTGGGGTCATATCAAAAGATGTCACTGCACCAAACAATTCCAAACTAGAGGATTGTAACAAGCAGTTTAAATGTTTAGAATTTTCCAAATCTTATACTTTGTTCCAGATAAAATCATTGTGGATGCCGAGCTGAGACCCTCAGCTGTGCTATCAGTATCATATTTAAAGGACTGTGACACAAATGATGACACTTGTCTTTTATTCACATTTTAAGAATGTTCATTTATGCAGTATTACCTTTGCAGTTCCTTATCTCCATATATACTAGTAATCTGCGACTTGATGTCATCACATATGCTGCCAGCTGAAATGAAATATACAATTTAATTTGACAACTATAAAAATATTTCTTTTATTTATAAATGGTAAACTTAAAGGGTATGCTTTAAATGAATCTATTGGTTCACATCCATATGTTCCAACCTACTGTAACTTCTTTATCTCTCCCTCTCTTCTCTCTCTCTCTCTCTCTCTCTCTCTCCCTCTCCCATTAATGCAGCACAAACATACAAGGCAATGAGATTTACATCCATATACCTACCATCATCATCCAATTCCTCAACCTGTCCCTCCATCTCTTCCTCCAAGAGGTAATTCTTCAAGAATTCTGAAAAAGCTCCTTGATGGTCCATTAATTGACTGAATGTTCCACACTCAGATACACTGCCATTTGCTATAACAATTATCTTGTCCACTTTTGGAAGATGGCTGATGCCATGAGTAACAAGAATTCTAGTCTGAAATCAGGAAAAATGGAAGCATTTGTGAAAAATGGAGTTATTTGGTCTATGGCTTGTTCTTTAAATAGGCTCAATGGACTTCGTGATTGAACATTTCCTTATTAAGAACATTCACTAGTGCAGCATTTTGAGGGGGTTCTGGAGTGTGACTTTTTTTTACCATGACCCATAGGAGCAGGCAAGTGCATCATTTGTAATGCCCAAAAAATCAAGTGGAGGAGGAACGAGAAGAAGATGCTTTTTATTGTCATCACAGTTTCATAACATGTCTTACCTTATTCTTGAGCACTCCTTCTGGTCCAATGACATTCTGAAAGATGTGTTTGCCAACATGTGCATCCACTGCACTAAGAGGGTCATCCAAGAGGTAGATGTCTGCATTGGAGTACACAGCTCTGGCCAAACTCACACGCTGCTTCTGACCACCACTCAAGTTGATACCCTGAATACAGGAAAATTTTTAATGGAATCTTTTGTCAATATCATCACGTTTTCAAAGGGCAATTGTTTTTTTTTTAATGACGAATTTTTTCTAAAGCAATTAAAATAGTCCTATATTATGGAAAATATGAGAAACACCCACAACTTTAAAATTATTTAAGTGCAAATATTTAAAAATTCAAGACAGCTTTAAAATTCTAAAAAATCCAAATGAAATCAAAATGATGTATATAATTCTAAGAATGTCACAAATGTGACAAATCGACTTTTATCTTGTTAAATTTTCTTAAATCTTTAAACTTCAATGATCTAATTTTAACAGAGAACATTTCATCATTTTAAAATACCTTTTCTCCTATTTCTGTCTTGTCTGCAGAGGGCAGTATTTCCAAGTCTGAATTCAATGCACAGCTGTCAATTATCTTGTTATATTCACTTTCATCAAAAGAATTGTTGAACAAGATGTTGTCACGTAGAGAACAGTTCTGTATCCAAGCCTGCTGTGGGACATATGCTACTGAACCCTGAAACAATGAAACCATATATAGATTTTCTCTTTTTTCTTTTTTATTTTGGTAAAATAATACAATTTGGTAAAATAAAGTACGCATGAACAAATATATAAGTTCTCCTTCAAAGTATGGTAAACTTTCCAGGTAAAAAGAAGTGAAAGCAGGTTTGATATACTAAACACAACAACCAGGTGAAACAAGGCTGTGTTTATATTAACTGCTCGATGCAGACAGATATTTGTTCCATATCATATACTTACAGAAACCTTAGTTGTCCCTTCAATCTTGTCCATGTTTCCTAGTAGAGCTGAGAGCAGTGAAGATTTCCCAGTGCCCACACTGCCCACTACAGCCACCAACTGTCCACGGTCAATATCAAGGTTGATCCTTAAAATATAATATAATATAATATAATATAATATAATATAATATAATATAATATAATGTCAAAATATTGACTGACTTTTTAGGTTAGCTGAACTAGAATTATCACAACTGAACGTTATTGACAATCTCTTTAAAACTGAGACTGACAGAGACAAAGACAGAAATTTGCAAGTCTCCATGCTAGTGAAAGAACTCAATAAGCAATGAAAAATGTGAATTAAAGAGGTAACTTTGTATTTTTAAAATGCTTGCAGCTTTGGTGTTATGTTTCAAAATATACCCCCTTAAAAGTTTATTTTTCTTGTAATTTGCATAACATACTCTTTTAAAGTTGGTGCATCTTCCTTGTCCCAAGTAAAAGTTCCATTTTTCATGACAATGGCTTTATCTGAAAATTAATTATACAGGTAGATAAAAGAACTAAATGTTTAATATGTGAAGTAAGTAGGCCTTTGTCAACAGTGTTCATATTCATTACTAATGGATTATGAATTTATGTAAATGTCAACATCATCTTCTTAGCAAGACATTACTGTTACTACACATAAATATTCAACACTTGTGATTCTAGGTGTTATCTGTGTTTACTAACCTTTCATCTCAGTTGTATCTATACTGTCAGGATCCAACTCCTCTTTCTTTAAAAACTTGGTCAGACGTTTTATCGCAACACTGACCTATAAAACAACAACAAAATGTTCTTAAACATTTTACTATACAGTCTTGAGACATGAAACTCACAAGAGATTTTTATTTAATGAAAATGAAGTCTGTATGTAATGTGTTTGAAGTGATTGCCAAATCAAAAGCACAATGTTTTTCAGATTAGTTAAAAATGTCCATTTGTTCCAAAGTACAGTATAATTATATGATTTGCTTTGTATCAAATCCATTTGTATCAAATCGTAACGACCATACCAGTATGTGATAAATTTACAATGCCTGATGTGGCTGATGTGACACAGGTATAAATAAAGAATACAGATGTACATTTACCTGAACCATATGGTTTACAACTGCAGGAAAAACTGATAATGGGTGACTCATAATTTGGAAGAGAGACAGAGCAACGAAGGCTCTCTCTGCAGTCAGGATATTGTCCGGGGAGGACAGGACATAAACAGCAAAGGTGGAAAGTGATAACTGCAAAAAAATAAATAAATAAATAAATAAAATAAAATAATAATAATAATAATAATTTGTTGACTAGCTTATATGAGTATTTCTTTGGATATCTCTTATATAAATTATGGAGAAATTAATATAGAACATGAACTCCAAAATAGACTGCATATTTTGAAGTAGGTAAAACAATTTGATACATTTCTCTATTTTTATCGCAATAATTAAGACTGCAAATTTTTTTCATCAACATAAAAACCTACTATAAAAATTGGCAAAATGGTTATAAATCAGCTTTTACTGCACCAAACTTAGCATTTCCACATACCAGATAAGGTGCCAATGCCCAGGTAACAGAACTGATGGCATTGAGATATGAGCTGTGCTTCATACTAATCATCTCCTTTTCCCTAATACCCATGATCTTCTTCTCAAATGATGTCTCCCACGCATAAAGTTTAAGCACCTGCAACATGTACAGAAATAAGTTTCATCCAACATGGTGAGAATTATCAAATGAGTTATTTGTTATAAAACCTTGATTTATGTTTCGATATCAATAAAATTTATTTAGCATTATTGGCAAATGAAATCTTGTGTTGATAAAAGTTTTTATTTAACACCTTTATTTGGTATCAATGCACTTGTGCCTAACTCTGGACCACTGCTTACATCAAGTGAACTATTACATAAACCCTTTCTCTTTATTACATTAACAAATACACTATGTATATAGACTATCCACAAAGAAATAATGGAAATTAAAAAAAAAAAAGCCCATGTGCAGTCCCATCAGCTCACCTTCATTCCATTCAGAATCTCGTTCATTAACTTGATTCGATTGTCCTTGTGGTCCATTCGACTTAACTAGAAGAAAAATTGAAATTCAGTACAGCTAATTTCCAAATATATGGGATTTTTTTCCTATAGTTGCCAGGACTTGGATGACAGTCCTCATCATCAGTATTAATATACAGAATTAAGCAATAATATTATTTTATGCTAAATAAAACCAAAAATACACAAAGTATTCAATACTGCACTGAATGCAAAAAGAAAATGTCAAGGACTTAAAAACTGAAAACGAGCACTCATTTCAAAAAAAAAAAAAAATTATAGAAAGACACCAAAAAATATTAAATTAACTTTTCAAGCAGCATTTTGTGTGTTGTAATTAAAGGCCTACCCGTAATTTCCTCTGAAACTTGGCGACAATGCCATTGACAGGTATCAGTAGAAGCATGACACCAAGTCCTCCCATTATACAAGGGCCAAGCAGTTGCCACAGAAAGTACAATGCAAACACAATTTTCAAACTCGCTCGTAGAAAAAAACTGAAGCAGTGTGTGACAGAATCGAGTTTTGTGGCATCTACAGACATCAGGTTGACTATTTCACCAACAGTTGTGGACTTTCTTGCACCATTTGATAGCACCAGAGCCTAAAGAGATAATAAAACTGACCCAATGAAATAAATATGTTTTTACGTTTTTTCTGATCATAGACTTGATCTATATGGTTTCTTAATTTCTAATTTACAAATGATACTAGCAACTTAAGTTATCTTTTTTATCATTATACTGGCAGATATTGTTGACCCACCTGTCAACATCTGATTCCAGACCAAAAACAAAAGCTTATGTTTACTATTTTCTTAATATAATAATTGTGTACCTTTCTATAAACTGCATGTACAGTTGCAGAGCGCATCCTGAATCCAACTTTGCACCTGACAACATCGAGTTGTTCAAACAGCAGCGACTGGGCCATACTACATAGATATATTAGTGCTGCATATACTAAACCCTTCCACATGTATTCATCTTTGTCTTGAGTGAAGCCAATAAGTAACCTAAGAAAACAATGTACATTGTAGTACTTGAGTGATTTAATATTTAACAGTGTTGCATTTATTCATTACATTATTTCAAAATGTAACCATCAGGGAACAATTAAAGTCAGCATTATAGGTTTGGAACTTACAAAAAATAATAAAACATTCATTCAAAAATACATATATTCCATTAAATATTGTTACATTTCTACAAACTGGACAAAATGTAACAAACGCTAAGTACATATAGGATTTTTTTAATTCAGCACTTCATGGAAATAAACTGATAGATGTGTTTCCTTACTTGAGCAACTGTGGATTAATTAAAACCAAGACAACAAAAGTAACTTCTCCAAAGAGGGAAATGGCCCATGGGAATCCAAATGCCTTGAACAGAGCTTTCAGAAGAGCAGGGTGATGTGTGTAAGAAGTCTTATCCTGTTTGGTGACATCTTTTCCTTGTCCTTTTAATGGGATGTCTTCCGATTCTGTATCAGTAATGCAACACTTGTTGTCAGGTAGAGTGCATCTGAAGAACAAAAAATATTTTGATAACAATCTTTTTGCTGAGATTCTGATTATCAGTTTAAGCATTAATTCACATATTACTGTTGAACATAAAATTTTACAAAAACTGGCACGAGTCAAACTGATTTTGCTTTATTATGTAAGCCTTTTTGCAGCCAAAATCTTTTAATATTCATGTTTTCAAAGGACAGAACAGAATCACATCCATACTTCTGTGATAGTTCTTCCTTCCAGTGCTTGTAAAACTGAGGTACCACAGTTTCAGCAGCTTCTTCTTTGTTCACAGACCAAAGATCTTCACTCTCTAATGGCTTCCTATAGCCTTGGATGACCATCCTTCAGAATAAAAAATAATAAAACAAACCTTTTGAAGACATGTAATGGGACCATTTTTATTTAAGTAATAAATGGACTGTAATATCCACAACTTGGGATTTATTATGTAGGGCCTATACCAAATTATTACTCTTTTTTTGAACACACACACACACACACAAACACACACGCATGCACACACACATGCACACACACGCAGTCGCACACAAAAAATTTGGATGGGGTATTTTTCAGTATTACTAATTAAGAATAAAACACAAAATGTTTTCATTAAATCATGAAGATATTTTAAAAAATTATTATTGCTGTCTGATCTGTCCTATAGCCTTTGTCTGTCAAAATGATTTTTTTCTTACCCTGTAAACCACCAGAAAGACATTTTTGACAAGAAGGAGGCACTCTTTTCTGGGGATTGTTTCTGCAATATAGAAAACATGAAGAATAACAGACATACATTTTCTGTGCTGTGCTCAAATTATGTGTATACTCCAAATAAACACACACTATGTCCATTTATTAAGCACAAATGTGCCAGTGGAGCAAGTTTGTCCCCATCTGTGTTTTACTTAATATAATTCTCTGATGTAAAATAATAAAATATTGCTTTAAAATGTCTAACTCTTACCTGATCTCCAACTTCAGAGAAGACAGGAGGTTTGTCAATAACCACGGACAGAATCAGCTGGGCAATGACCACAGGAAAATGGAGGAAGAAGGTCACAAATGTAAACATGTCCTCTGGTTCTCCCTGTCAAAAAAAGTCATATAAAAAGACCTAATTAAAACATATATCCCTGATGCCTTTATTGGTATCCTCAACTACCCTTTATCATTTTATTTCAACAAATTATTTTGAGTCTTTTAATGAGAGTTCCTGTATTGTACAACTACATAGTTTTACATGTACATAAAATGACTCTAAAAGTATATGTATTTTGACAGGAAAAATATATATACACTTACAGTCAGTCTATAATATCTTGTCTTAGATACGCATATAAAGATATCACCAAGAGTCCACAAAAGCCAGTAGAAAAACATCTGTCCTGAAGACTGGATTCCCCTTTTCCTTTCCAGCTGGAGAAGTGCCGTGGCCCATGACTAAAAAAAATTAAAAAGTTGGTTAATCAGATGTTGATAAGGCTTTTTGGCTAAAGCACTGTTCGCAGTCTAAAATCACGCCGTGAAAAGTGTACATTTAACAAAGGACGTCATAATTCTTAAAGATTAAGAGAAAAGAAAAAAGTTGTCTAGCGAAAATATACTGACCATGGCTAAAAGAACCATTCCTGGTGACACTATCGACACAGCGTAGGCTCCCTCCACGGCACTGATCCGTATGGCGTTGCACAAATCTGTGAAGGCAAGAAGGACCAACACACATCCCAGGATCTAAAAAATAAGACAAGTACATCGGTGTCATAACTTTATCGATCCCTCCGCGCTCTCTTATTTGACCCGCCTCACCCGCCCCTAAAAAATAACAATTATCCAGTTGCCCTATAACAATATTATCTTGGCAATTGCTCCGAATAAACGACTTTGGCTTTGCGTACGAAATAGCATTCATTATAATACGATTAAAATTTTGCATAAATATTATAAATGTTGGTTTTTCGCACTGTGCCCTTACCGTTTTTGTGATGTTCAGCCAGGTCCACGGAATAAAGCTCTTTTGACTGTGCAGCAGTGAATACACGCTGAAGACGGAGGTCACAACCAGGAAAAAACATGGTATCCAGACAAGAACTGTGTTCTGGAAACAACTGGTCAAGTCTGGCTCGTCAGTGTTAATTGTGAGATTGTAATCCTAGAAAAGAAAAATTCTAATCGGTTAATTGAAGTCACCGAGTAGGTCTACCATTTCTTTGGAATACAATTTTCATTCTTTCTCTCTCTCTCTTTTTTTTTTTTTTTTTTTTTTTTTTTTTTTTTTTTTTTTTTTTTTTTTTGATAAGGTCACGAAAACTGCGAGTGCTACAATTCGTTAAAGAGCTAAACTATCACTACTAAATTTGCTGACGCATCAAAAGGAGATGCGAGTCAATGATTGTTAACATACAAATAAATAGATAAATCCGGTAACTCATTTAAATTTAGAATACAGGTTTTTAAGGTCACAAAAACTACGAGTGTTACAATTCATTCAAGGGCCAAACTATCATCACTAAATTTGCTGACGCATCATAAAGCGAGATGCCGGTCAATGATTGTTTCCACTACAGTGTATAGGTACAACATACCGTACGTAAATTGAGCCGACTATCAAATATTTGTTCGAGGTAAACATTATTATACTTACTATAATCTCAGATACTCTCTGAGGGTTAGCAGATTGGAGTGCATTTAAAACTAGCTTTTTAAATTCTTTTATTTATAAAATCTAGATACAAATTATTAGTCGTATTCAATTTTTAGAAGAATAAAAATTGATGGATAAATAAAGTATCATTTTCATTTTTCTCACTTACAGTGTCAGCTTCGGAAAAGTGTTCAAATGACCGTAAACGTTTCTAATAGAGGATTTCTCGAACACAGCGTGAGTAACTTAATTCCTAACGTTGCGGGACGATAAATTTCGATAACAGTGTATAAATGCAAAAGTGTGTGTTTTTAGTCGACAGTTTATTTATCTATTTACGTATTCACATAACAAGTATTTAGTGGGTCCTAGCTTCAGTTTTAATTTCTGTCTTGAACACAAAAATTGTTTTAAATATGTTCTTGTAAAAGCACGAAGATACGAATGGCCTGCCCCGACTTTCTCCAGTGATGTCCCCGTCTATAAAAGACATAAAAACCCACTTGCCATTGCACCATCATTGTGAAATTTAAGTGTTTTAGCTTGAATTCAGTGAAATCATCGTTAGTCCTAATTCCTGCCTTTAATACAAAAATTGATTATGCTCTGGTATATATATATATATATATATATATATATATATATATATATATATATATATATATATATATATGCGAAGAAGATATGAAAGGCCACATGTTTCACTTTCTTTGCCCTAGCTTTCTCGAGTGGCGTTGCGCCGTCATTGTGAAATTCCATACAACGACATAGCTAGCTCACTTTGAAACCTGTTCCAAATAACCTATTAAACATGTACCTTAGATAATACAAGGGATTTTGACATTTAAACCTCCTTGGATAATATAAGCACAACACTCTGTGATATTTGATTGGTTATCGTATTTTGACAACGAAATGAAAGGAGAACATTAAAAAAAACAGCAAATCGAATAACTTGGCGTTCGTCAATTTGCAGTGATACCTTAATTGTTGAGGTTCATCAAAATACTTGATGAACAAAGATAAATCAATTAAATAAAAATTTTAATTTTGACAGCGAGATACTAGTTTCATTTAAACTATCGACTGTGTTTTCATTCATACTCCGAAATCTTCTTTTTAGTTTCAAAGTGTCTACCAAAGTCACAAACACAACACTCACCCAGAACGGAGACCCGCAGAAGGCTTCCATTACGTCTCCGTCACTGCGGTGTCGCTGCTGAGTCAAGTTTATCTCGTTTTCTTTCCTTTCTTTTAACTTTATCTTCCTAAGCAGCAGTTAAACATATAAAAAACTAGTCAAAATATATTTCTTTAAGAACAACGACCACAGTCAGTTTAACTCCCTTGGCTGTTAGAGAGCGAATGGCTTTATCCAGCGGGTATGCCATATTTTTATATGTACCTAGCCCGGCCGCGATCCAATAGCAACTCTCAAAGCCCTTAGTCTATTTTTAGCATGCGGAATCCCCCACTTCTAATTAGAGTCTTAAATATTACTTAACGATTAAGTGATTAAGCGGTTGCTGTGGTGAGCAACAATCAAAACAGTACAAGTCCTTATTTTGGAGAGCTGGGTATTTCCCAGTGGTCAATCTCGGTCAATTTGACGTCACACTGGGCAGCTGTGTTACGCAATTAAACAGATTAATTTATCGATACGCTTTTCTCTCTCATTTGTACTTTTAAAGCGTTTTTCGGTCCTGTACGACTTTAAAATTCAAAAGCAACATATTAGTTACATAATTTTACCCAAATTATATCGTGTAAATATTGCACTGCTACTATAATTTCTACGATGGCTCTCATTGAAGCGGCCAACCTCGTTTGCGTTTGTATCCATGCATTCACTGATCAAACAAATACGCTTTTCATATTCAAAAGAGCGTGAAACCGACATTGTAAAGGAGTTCAGGTCATCTGTGTCGTTCTTTTGTCGATTTATGTACTTCATTGCCTAGTGAATAGGATTTTCAAAGACCTTCGACTGTGATTGATTGGCAATAAGATGCGCAAGAGGTTATTGTGACATGGGAAAATCATCTATTCGCTATGCGCTGTCCGTAATCTATACACTTATATTGATTCTTGTCCGAGGGGTTACGCGTTCAAGCCAGCTTGGCAACCATTACTCAATCCAAACAAATATTCAGGCTGCTATTTTAGTGCTGGAAATCCCGTCGGCGACTAAGCACTCGTTTTAGCCGCGTCGCTTAAAAAAAGCTTAATCTCACCTTCTTTTCACTCTCTATTCACCAAGTCATTGAATTATGAATAAGTTATTTCAAAGTGGGTTACGAACAAAGGGGCGAATAATTAAAAAATATTAAGAGAAATACAAGCAAGGCAAATAAAAACGTTTTAAGTGTAGTTATCCTATAGAACTAAGTAGCTAGGAAAACGAGTCCGTATAGTGAAAACTGGAGTAATCTTAAATAGTAAGTGCCTGGGGATGTGACTTTTTCATATGTAATGCAATTATATTAATCAAGTGATATGCTGGGAATATAATAAGCCAAAATATGTGATGTAGAAAGGAAAGAAAAATCAAAATAGGTATTTCAATCATTTTTTACTACAATGACTTAAACAAAATATTAGTAATGAATCTGTTTTCAGGTGTTTCCCTGTTGTTAATAACATATAAAACAATGGATCTACGCGTAATGAGTACCGTAACATTGGCAAACAAACAACAACTTTGGTAAATAGACATAGGAGCTGCCCGTGTACAAATTATGTCATACTTTTCGGAGCATTAGTATTGAACTCTTTGGCGGGATGTCAACGATCTGCGTTGCGATGACTACTTTCCCTCTTCTGACGATCGTTTAAATATATCAATATAATGGTGGCATTATCCTTGCTCAAATCGATTTTTATTGATATAAGTTAAGGGGTCGTACATGTATTTCAAATCGTACGTACGAGTACAATATACCACCTACAAAGCAAGTAAACTAGCTGAGAAGTCGCCTAAAGCTTGGGTTTCGCTCAGAATTACTGGAATTAATTAACTCTTGAAACGGTGTTTGGATATAAGTGCTTAGTGTTTTAAATGAAAGATGAAGCCAGGTTGATAATGGACGAGAAATAAAGAGGTTTGAAGGTGCAGTTAAAAAAAACTTCTTTAAAATTAAGCGACAATTTTGAATAATTCAGTAAATTTAAAAACCTTGGGACACATATTTAGTTAACTAGTTAAAACTGCCACCGAGAGAAGTTGGTAAAAAAAGCCAAGTTGAGTGCAAACAGGGAGTGTTGCTCAACCGAACACGCTGGCGACGCATGGTTCATCAGGTCACGTTGACCCGCCGCGTGCCTTTGGGTGGTGGTAAGGTATATATATATATATATTCCTCTTTGGTGAAAATACATAGTGGCTAGTCTAAACAAAGTCATCCAGTATGCACGCTGAGATCAGTAAATGACCTCGTTTCCGCAGGATTACCCCTTTTTTATTCATTGTAACGCACAATATCACAACAGGGTGTTCTGGCAAGTCACATTCAAGATGTAAACTTAGTAGTGTCTAAAAACCACGCGCCAAAGAAACGACTCTATTTTTGTAACAGGTCAGCATTACTGCCAAGTTTCTTTATTTATTATTTTGCGTTTCACTATAAATGGCAGACAACATATCTATTTCTTTGCGTTTAACACAAATTCCATGGTCCTCTAAGATAGCGTCGATGTGGTGAGGCAATGTATAGGTCTTGCCGAGTACATTCCAGGTTGTAAAATGGGTGTAATGAAACGACCTCTACAACGCTGGATGACATGTTCATGTGTGGGATGATCATATACGGATATTCACTTTACACACATTTGGCAATTTTACATAATTATTGTATTTTACTCAAACTACATACTTGACTAAAGTTGCAGTTTTAGTTGGTTCTAATAACGTGGCTGCTTATTACAGGGGTGTTCTGTATGTCACCATCGTTATCCAAAAAAATTGTTACAAAATGTCTTATAGAATTTTCTTGATTTTTTATCCTTCTCTGATAAAACTGATTTCAAAGAAAACATTGCCTCACAACAAGACAAAGTTACCACAAATCATATCACTTATTACAGCACATATTTTCATATTTTTTCATAATTCATGATCTGTGAAAAACTGAATGCTTTTGAGAAAAAAAAGAAATCTAAAGATGTTTTATGCCTATAAACATCAGCGATATTCATGAATCTGTCTTTACAAAAATAAGTTAAGTTTTATCAAATGTAATAACAGCCGTTTCAGAAATTCATTTCCAAGGCACAAAAGAGGAAACCTTGATATATTTTTTCAAGATCAGCATTAGTACTGCTTGACTGTCACAGAGAACAGTGTTTATTTTCACTCTCTACACCGTCATGCTTTCCAAGTTCAGCATTTGCAGTGTTTCACTGATGTATGATCCAGCGTCTATCTTACTTTTTACACCTGCAGCAAATGCTTTCTGCATCAAAATACCGGCCTGATCTAAAAAACAAAAAAAAAAAAAAAAGAAAAATGTAACTTATTATCCTTAGAAGAAATACAATTGCCTTTATATGATACAAGCGAGGCTAAATTTTACGATAAGAGTTGTTTCTCCAACTTTATTAACTTTGATATAAAGGTTCTAAATTTCATATTTGTCAGAGTATGGTACTAGTAATCATAATCTAAACACAATTTACAAAACTTTGGGTTTATTGGAAATCAAGATTTACGAGACTAAGCAGTAAAAAAAACACAAAGGCAATCAAAATACAGAAGATAAGCATATGTTTTTTTTCATTAACCTATTTAATTCTGAAATCACTTATCTTAAAAGGAGGTTGGACTGACATTATACGTAATTCTACATACTCTGACAAAGCACAGCAAACTCTGGCAGATTCTTTAAAGCAGAATTCACAATATCTGGGTTGCTGTTCTCTATGCAGTGTAGAAATGTAGCTATGACATCATCCCCAACGCTGAAACAGGAAATAGCATAATAAGTATACAGTTTTATTCACAAATTGTCAGCTGAGCAGGTCAAACTCTTATGCTTGTCAGGAAAATGTAGGCACAGCTATTATATTACATTGGTCTTAAAGTGTAAACATGAATGTAAACAGTAGCTTTACTGGTGTGATAAGAGAATGGATACAAGGGAGTTGCTAAGTAGATGTGTGTTTAAGCAAAGGAGTAACTTTGATAAACTGTTATGCCTATCAGTGCTTTTTATCTCATCCTGATACCACATGAAATTAAACACCTTTTTCAAATTCACAAATGTTTGTTTTCTCTCATTACTTTGATTATTAAAATTATTATTATGGAATATTTTTTTCTGAATTATAAAACAATATCTCAATGGATTTTATTAACTGATTGATGAGATTAGGGAGAGGGTCTAGGATTTGGACTGAAGCAAACACTATTCAATTTGATGTATATATACAGCTTTTTCTCCATGATATTAAAGCAGTGTGTGATAGTATTAAAGCACTAATCCACATATTCCTAATGACCCACCTAGGTTTTTGCCTTATGTATCTCATCACCAAGGCATGGGCTGTATTCCTGCACTTGTCACTCTCTGACAACATCAGTCTCTTCAAATCCCCCTAAAACACACAGAAGATGGAGGAGTTGCACTGACAGTTTTTGGAAAATTAGGCAAGACTCCTCTAAGTCACTAATTCTCCTCACCAAATAGCATAGACTGTAGTTAGTGCAACATATTGTGGAGTTATTTATGACAGATAGACATGGTATTATACCAAATGGGAGAGAAGACACTTCCGTCTCAATTAAGAAAAGGGAAAAGAGGCTTACAGGTTAGATAGAAAACAATTATTACACAATAAAATTGGGGAATATGGGTGTGCCATGAAATAATTTCAATGTTTTGTCTGGATGACAAACTTTCTTCATTGTTAATAAAGGCAACATAACTGTGCCTCTGCCACCTCATTCTAAACTGGTCTGAACGATTTTATACAATGCTGATGAGAAACCACTTTCCCTTCCTTACCATAAAATGTTCCAACACATCTACTTTTCTTTTAGATGTGTTGTCCAAATCCTCCAAAACCTCAAGCACATCTGAAAAAAGGGAATGGCCATAACATTCTATAACAAGATAAAATTTGTGCATTCTCAATTGTACATACAATGATATTCTTGATTTACAACTGTGTATGAGAATTATAAAAATTACTCTGAGGACCAAATATACATTTATTATCATTTTCTTTTTCATTTATTTATTGATTTAACATTGTTGTTTTTCAATACTTTGGATTTAAATACACTGGTAAAAAAAGACAATGTCATCATAACGCACAGAAGAACAAAAATTCAATCTTAGCACCTACCTTCCAACTTGGCCTCTTTGCTGATCTTCTTGAGGAAAGGTGCCAGCTGTGTCATGGGGATAGGGGATGTTGACCTGGGAGGTGTCAGACAGGTGTCAGCCTCAGGTGTGACCTCCCCCTCCCCAGCTGAGGGGGTAGGTAAGGTCAGGCCAGCCCTCAGTGACTTCAGTATGGCAAGGTCTGGATACTGCTCCGACAGATCTCTGTGAAATACCAGTATTACACATCAACATAAGCAATTTATAGAAAAATATATCATTTTATTTAACATGCTGTTTCTTTTATGTCATTAAAATGACAAAAACGGCATTTAATAATTTAATAACAAAAACATAAACAATTCATAGAAAATATATCGTCTTATCTAAAATGTTATTTCTCTTATGTCAGTACAAGAAATAAAATGCATTAAAATGGCAATAAAAAATTAAAACAAAACAGCATTCTGAGTCTTGTATTGGTGGCTTGCATGCCAATTTTTAAAAATATTTATTAGAAACTTTAGATTTAAATTAACAAAAAAATACAACCCCTCAAATTACCCCAGCAGACTGGCAAAAGGCCTAAGCAGGCTGATGGCTCTGGTTTTATCATGGTGCATGAACTGATGCAGGAAATGGATGTACTTGATGATCAGAGGGGCCAGCTGCTTCTTGTAACCATGAACCTGAAATATCAAACATGGAATCATGACTACCAATGCAGCTTCTGTATGAAGTAAAGAAAGATAAATCCAATCTGTTAGTGGACAATTGTTGATTACAGATAGTCTGTGAATATTAACATCTGGACCATCTTTTTTTTATTTATTTATTTATTTATTTATTTATTTATTTATTTATTTATTTATTTTTTTTTTGGGGGGGGGGGTAACAGAATTACAATGTATCACTACCACACAATGGAAGGCTTTATGTTGAAAGAAGATGGATATGTAGCAAGTTACAACATTTTGCTTAAAGCGGTACAGAAAAAATCTAGAAATGTATCCATTAAAATATGAGGTGTATTATCTTACTTTGATAACTTCAAAATATGAAGCCAGAACCTCCTCCAGTGCCTGATACTCTCTGTGAAAGATAGATGGCGCCAGCAGCTCAAGAATGCCCAGAACATGTGTAAATAACAAGGTGTAGTTTCTGTGCTGAAACTCCCCAAATGCAAAGTGAATTCTGCCCTTTAATATGGAGGCTATCATTGGGAGTTGTCTGAAAATAGAGAAGTTGAACAAAAAATCAAGGTGTTGACAACTAAGGTGCGGTCAAATGCTTTAATTTCACATTTACATTTTTTTCTCCTTTGAAATCAAACTGCTCTATAGCATTCAGAAAAGACATTAGGGAAGCTAGTCTCATTCTGGTGGAATCAAGTTTTAGGTGGTAATTGGTTTTCTTTAAACTTTCAGTTGGCTCATTATTAAAAAAAAAATATTAGTATCAAAAATGATGCAGCCAAGTGTCGATTAATTTGCTTCTGATAGCCTGGCCATAATAATTTTTTACACTATTTGCTCTGTAGATGTGAAACTCATTACTTCTGCAACAAATAAATTTGTGCAGCTACTCTAATACTGTTCAATTGTTTTAATTCATATATGCATTTGTTATACATATTTACTTAGTAAAGCATTTACAAATGGAAGAATTACTACAAGATATTGTAGACAAAAATTTCTAGTTTATACCTTAAAAGTAACGCAGGGTGTTCTGCAGCCATTTTTCTACAAGCGATGTTTGCATCAAACATCTTTTCTGCCACTTGTTTCCCAGGGCGCGCCATGCTCAGGGTACTGATCAAGCGATGAGAGATGATATCCAACTGCAAAACAACAGGCTCATGTTACTGTCCATAAGATACTGTAACAATGTTTACAAGCAGTCTAGAAATTTCCAGGCCTAGTGAGAGAAAATCAGTGTGTGATACTGGTGTTATAGTAAAAAAAAGTGGAATTTACATTTATCCACATAATTCAAAAACTATACAAATCTCTCTCTGACTAATTTCCAAATTAATTCTAGTTACAAACACAAATGAATCAGAAATTTTAACGTGAGCATGCAAGTTACCTGGCTTCCACTCTTTAAAGTAGAGCTCATATCTCCCAGCAGTGTAGCTGTGTCGTCCAGCCATGCCAAGGCATAGGGTTTTTGTAGGTAGATCTCCAGTAACAGGTGCTTTGCCAGGGAACCAATACTATTGAAACATAAAGAATCACAAATAGCCTGTTTCCGTATGTATAAAATAAGTTCAGTGAATACTTTTTAGAATTGAGAATGGGGTGATAATCTTATCATGGTTATTTTCATCAAATTCACCATATTGAAAGAACACATTAATTTACAAAGAACACTGTATATTAATGTACTAAGTTTACCTCCCAGCTTTCTTGATAATATCCTGTAGGTATTGTACAGAGAATTTAATGAGATCAGTCCTGTCACTGCAACAAGCTGTCAAAAGATGGAGCCTCTGGCCTATCAACTCCAGGACAAGCTTATCTGCTTTCTCAGAGGCTTCCTCCAAAATGTAATCAATGACTCTCTTCAGTTGTTGCTCTGTCAGACAGAGGATGTCTTCTGGCTGAGAATTCTTTAAAAAAAAACTATAGGTTACTTACTGAAAATGTGGCCAATTATAAAAAAACCTCTCTGTTTACCTTTTGTATAAAAAAAGTCAGCAGTTTAATTTCCATTGGTCAAAAAAAAAATAATAATAATAAATAAAAAAATAAAAAATACACGTACAAAATCATAAAAACTGCATACTCTTTCATAAATCATTCTTTCTGAATCGGTGAAAACGTTACCTTGGGTAGCTTCCTGTCCCTTCCCTGCCATATTGTTGGAATGTGGATACAAGCCCACAAGAAATCTAATACATTGGAAGCACAGTATTGTCTAGAAGAAAAAGAGCCATGAACACTTAATGTATCAAATCAAGTGTGCAAAATAAATTACACAATTTTCATATAAACAATCTAAAAAGCTTGTGTTGGTTTTCAAAGCCTAAATATAAATCTAAAGACCTTTTAGTCCTTTGCCAACTTAGTGTACAAAATACATTGTAAAAGATTTTATACAAACCAAACTTTTCCCCCACCTGTTATCCCCAGGTTGCAGCAGACAGCTGATACACCTATGGAGTGTGATCCAGTTACTCTGATGTGTCAGTAGAGCAAGCAGGTATGGCTGCCCATGCTTTCTGGTACTACCATTCTTGATGTCTCCTTGTCTTGCATCGTGCTGCCTCCTGGCAAAGAGTAGCTGCTGCTCAATCTCTGGGGAAGCCTGAATGATCTCAGGATCCAGTAGCTCCAACCAATCTATGAGTAGTCCAGCAGTGCTGGATGGAATTACTGTGTCTTCAGTGAGAGCAAAATTTCCAGATTGCTCCGTACTTGTGTTTGCCTTGGATGTAAATTCACTGCAAGTTTCACAGGGAAATGTATAAAAAGGTTGATAATTTTTATTTCATAATGGCACTGCTTGGAATGGATATCAGATGGTGAATTTATCAAACTGGTAAATGGGTATGTGGAAGTAAATATTTCCAAATATTTCATGAAATATTAATCAATTAAAAATTAAAGAGAGGACCCTCAAGTGTAGACATTTTTTGATTACACTTATTAACTACTATGCAATTGAGAAAGGATTTGAACTTTTAACTACCTGTCTTTTTGCACCAGCAAGGTAGCCATTGTCTTTGATCTGGTGAGAGTGCTCTTATTCTCCATGCTGTCAGACATACACATTTGCACAAACTTCTCCATAAGACCATCATCCACTTTCTCCTTGTTTGTCAATGCTACAGGGTAAAACATAAAATTCAAATTTGGACCATTGTGACTGTTCCTGAATAATTATAAGTCTCTTTCATATAACAGTAATTATAATTGTGTTATTTCAATTGAAGTTTCTTGCTTGTTTCTGAAAATTAAGATCATCCAAAGCAATAAGTATGCACCTACCTCTCTGTAGCCTTTCCTCATCCACTTGCCCTGCAGTTTTCAACTGTTTCACCTGTTCTCTGACTTCACTGCTCACTGGTCTCTGGCCAGACACAGTGGTCAAGTACTGGACCAGCAGAGAGGTCAGAGGAGACTTGATCTCCAGGGATAACTTATGTAACCTTTCTATGAGGCTGGTCAGAGCTGGGTTCTTCTGAACAAACAAAAAGAGAAATAAAAATCAGATCTTGCGGGTTACTTATGCCATTTACCACTATGTGAATCTGCATTGAGAAGTACAGATCTGTGAAAAACTCTAAGATACACTGGGCACAAGCTTTACTTGTATCAGATGTTGAGATTTGAAAATTATACCACTTACTTGCATATTAAAACCCATTAATTCAAGTGGGCTTATGAAAGTAATGACTATTGAGGTTCATGAACCAACCAACCTGTTTTGCCATCAGTATTCTAAAAAGAGGACAAGCCACTGTTGTCTGTTTGTGAAGACTTGTAGCCAATTCAGCACCTTTATCACCCATTAACATCTGAAAAATAAGGATCATTATCATTCTAAATCAAGGAGTATCTACTTATACAGTTGCAATGAAAGTATCTTGACCACCAAAAAGCTATTTTGTCCTTTTATCTGTGCCTTTGCCTTGCTTGCGTATACAACAAATACATAAATTCCTTAATGATCTCAAAAATTTAGCTTAAAGATAATTTTTAAAAACTTTTTTATGAATTTCTTATAAACATATAAATTTTATTCCATCACTGCATTCTCAGCAATATAAGATACCTCATATATAGACAAATACTTACATTTCTTAAAGATTGGGTGACTAATTCTGAAACTGCAGCTTCAACTGATATTTTCTGAAAAGACAAATCAACAGTATTAATGAAATTGTTCATACTTCCCCCTGAAATTTAGTGTAAGCAATGTTAGTAATTTGTTCCACATAACACCTCACCTTGATAAGCTGCTTATGTTGTTCTTTCACTTCTTTTCCATTTGGACCTTCTTGAAAGCCAAAAATCTGAATAGGAAAAGATATACCATTTACAATCCATGATCACAATTTAAATAGCGTTGATTTCAAATGATGTCAAAACTGTACCAGCTTCAATGCATGTACTACATTATCTTTTTTTCTTAGTTTAGGAGCTTTTTTGTATTCTTAACTACTGGCCCAATGATAAAAAATTAATCTCACCTTCCACAACAATTTTTCCACAGATCTGACATCCCCAGGCATTGTAAAAGGCTCTTCTTTCCTGAATATCTGCGAGAATGTTCTAGATTTCTTGTCGGGCTTCATTTCAGTATCACCTACGTGGAAATTTGAGCAATATATCAAAAACATGTGGTATCATACTTTCTGGCAAACTTTGTTACTACCCATATAAAACTGTTTTAGGTTGGACAGTATTAATAGTTTCCATTGCCTTTAGGTAGATGCCAAATGATTTGTTAAACAATGTGTAGAACACACTTTCCTTCAATCAGAGAAAAACAATGTAGATTTCTACAAAGCATAAGATATATCATATCATATATTTCAACAGACAGCTCTGATCATTACTCATACGCAACAGCTTGAACAGTATATGATCAAACCTTTTTCTTCCTTTTCTCTTCCCTCCATCAACAGCTGTTGGAACCTCTCCCCTCCTGTTGCTCCTCTCAGTTTCTGAACCTGGATCAACTGATTCATGTACCCCTTGTCCATCACCATGGCTCCCAAACTCTGGCTGTCCACCTGTGCACCATGGTCAAGACTGGCCAAAAGCTTACTCATACTCTCTCTAGGGATACCAAATGATTGGACAAACAAAAGCAGCTGTCCAGGCTCTAGGTCTTGCAGAGCTGGGTGAAAGAAATATTCTAATCTTTACAATAGATGTCAATAAATAGTGAACATAAACTTTGTAAAACATTTTCATAAAACTTTAAATATATAAAAAATACTGCACTTTATTTAATGGATTTTTCAGCTGAACTTTTAGTAGAATTTTTTTTATTACTGCAAAATGACATATCTATCCTTCAAACTAGAGGATCAGAGAGGCGATACCGCCTCCGAATATTGTACCACCAGCTNGGAGCCGGCGGAGCCGGCGGAGCCGCAGGAGCCGGCGGAGCCGGCGGAACGGACCGGACGGGACTAAAACCATGTGTACCGCCAGCGCTCACGCTGGTGGTACAACAATTTTCAGTTTCTTCAACATGAACTAACCAAGGAAACAATCAAGCCAAATTATTATTCTACTTACCTGCATCCACCAGTCTCTGAACATCAGATTTGATCATCTTCAGTTTCAGCCAGTCAGGCAGCAGCAGGGCCTCCTCAGATGTGTCAACTAAGTAGGCAGAGGGAGGGGCACCTGACACTGGGAACCAGGTCTCCAACAACTCTTCAAACAAAGGTTTCCCTATGGCATAAATGTATTGTGATAAGTATTTAAAACAAACTCACTTACGGGGATTCAGGGTTGTTGTAAACAAGTTCTTAGACACTTCAAATGAAACGCATCCATCATTTGATATCAGTATTGTTGAACTGGTCTGTTCCACTTCAAAGAGAAGACTTCAAATTACGGATATTAAAAAAGCAACATCTTGATTTCAATATCTCAAGAGCACTAAATTACAAAGACACAAGAATGGGAAGTCCAATCTTATATGGCGTGTTATGAGCTTCCAGTAAGTAAAAGTACCCTCAGTGGTAAACTGTGGAGGTCCAAAGGTCAGTAATATGATCATGGCATGGACAACTAGCACATGCATGGTGGCTGACTCCCCTGTCTGCCACTGCAGGATGATTTGGTCCTGTGTGTCAGACTTCACATATAAATGAACAGAAAAGAATATCAAAAGAAATGAAAAAAAAAACATATCTTATGTAAAATAATGTACACAAATCACGACAGGGTCCTAATCATAAATTATCTAAAATTCTTAGTCCACTGAAATTGTAAATCTTTAATAAAGACAACTAGGCAACAGCCAGTTTGGTGTGCTTTGAAACATTCAAAAGGTAAAACTGACAGTCAAGAAACAGTTGAACTGTTTCTGATTATATGAGAGGCAAATGAACATTGCCTGTTTTTTATATCAAGTAGTATGGTACAGATCATCTCTGCAATATTCAGACAGTACTGACATGCTGTATGTTAAAATTTAGCTCAGTTACATGTATGTATAACCCTGAAGATATATTTCACACTATCAAAATTATAACCAGGAGGTAGCTGGCTAGTTACCCAAGAATAAGCCTGTTTTTCTGGTTCTCTGGCCTTCCTGAGATAGTTAACAAATAGTTTGATCAGAGCGGTCAGTACATAGTCCTGCTTTGGGGTGGAATGATGACCATCGGACAGGATATGACCAATGATGGTGGACCTCTCTACTATCACCTGGGCTATGTCCTGGAATTGAAACAAAACAATAAAGAACTGCCACAACCTATTTCTTAGTCACTATGGTACTAATGTAAATTCCAAGTCATCTTAAAAATGTTAATAATTACAACACAAAGGTAAAAGATTCTTAAATAAGCTGTCCAAACCTCATGTCATCTTAAACATTTCAGATTAATACATAAATGATCCAATTATTTCCCTTAAAGTTGTTATATTAGGCTTTATAAGTCCCTTGCATTCCCTTAATACTCATTACAGCATACAATTGACTGGGAGACTGCATGTTCTGAGCACTTACTAGAGCCAGATCATCCATCTGTTGAAGCTGATATCCAGATGTCTGCCCTGACAGGAACACAATGTATGCACTCACGGCAGAAACATCCGTCTCTACCTGACATGCCTGAAGAAGAGAATTAGAATTTTTTACCACAAATTACAGATTTTTACTTTTGGTTACATTTTATGCAATCACTGAAAACTGAGGTAAATGTGATCAATCACATTTACCAAGGCCTTCAGTGATGGCATATCACAAATATAAAAAAGGCCGCTAATAGCAATAAACCAAGAATCAATCATTTTTTTGTTAATTGCATTCAAATAAGTGAAGAATCTAGTAAGGTAAGTAATCAGGATAAGAAAAAATTCTAGAACAAATACCATTACCTGTCTAACTGCAAGACAAGCCTGCTCCCGCACATAGTTAAACAGTGGTAAAGTACATAGCTGGACCAGTAGCCATCTGTGAGATGGGAAGGCACCTGCCAGCTCATCATCGTCTGTCTCCATCTCTTGAGCTGAGGCATACAGGTGACACTTAGACAGCACCATGTTCAAACCCTGGAACACAATGGTATATATTTGTTACTGATAAGGTCACATGGACTAGAGGTATATCTGCCTATTAATTTCATGCTTCTATCTTCCGAGCTTTGCCCTACAGATGATTTTTGCACTTCAATTTCAAAAAATAAATATATTATAAAATTCTTACATATGTCTCTTTAACAGAGTTATTGGTCTTTTAAAGAGACATTTTAAGAAGAAAATTAATTATCAGAACTGAACTTGTACTTTGTTTTAAACTAGGTTCAAAGAGTTTTCTGTTTTTCACTTCAAAATTTCAATTCATCTAAGACCATGATATGAGGTTTTTCATCATAAAGACTAAGAACCCATTATCAATTTGTTCTCTTTGTTCTAAATATGCTGGGCTGTTTTTGATACAGAATCTCCCACCGTTACAATGTAAATACAGTATACCAACCTTAAGAGCTAGAGCCCTGGATGCCACCTGCTGTGAGGAGAGTCTCTTCAGGAAGTAGTTGAGAACTTCACCAACCGTCTTTGGGTCACTATCCTCAGAGAAAAGCAGGGCTTGTAGCCTGGATAGCAACTGCTCTTGTTTCTTCAATTTCTGTAAGAAAGCATTGCAGTGCTCTGAATATAATAGAAGACACATGTACCTAGCATACCTTTTTGTTTGATAAATATATAACTAAAGTACATTATCTTGCCATGAAAATAAAAACATTTATTATACGATAGGGTTACATCTAATAAATTTTTTGAAACGTTTGAAATTAGAGAATTTGATAGCCACCAATATAAAAAAGTCAAAGCTCCAGGTTCTCTTCCAAAAAAAATTATACCACTGTTGATAAAACTAGGACACAAAGATGCTTCTCTAAGGCACAGACAGGAGTGCAGTCACAAAGATGTTCCTTCTTCTCTGAAATCAGCTTACCTGCTTCTTTTTGAATTTCTCTGCCTTGCTTTCCTCCTCCTCTTCCAGGTCATCTATCTCTGGAGTCTCATGCAGCAGGAACTCACAGAGACACTGGACAGGAAGGATCTCCAGGGAACCCTCACTGGACTCCACCAGCTCAGCCAGCCATGGCATGGACTGGGAGGCACCCTGGAGGAAATACAATGTTCCAGGCCCCAGTTTCACAAAATTATTTAAGTCAGTTCCCTGGCTTAGTTGACTATGATTTCAATGAGAGTGCTGTAACACTGTGCCTGGGTAATATGTGTGCATGTGGCCATGTAACCTTGGTAACAAATATGTTAGCCAGGGAACACTACTCGGAGTTTTTTTTCTTTTTTTGTAAAACTTGGGCCAGAGTTTTACAAGGAAATACTACAGTTATAATGGAAAAACTGTAAACACAATGCATCTTGGACATTTTTTTAATGATCCACTATATGAAACTGAGGTTATCATCTACAAATGAGTTATATTCTTGAAATTATCTGAAGATAAGTGTGGGTTCTCTTGCATAATGTATAATACTTGAATGCAATGTAAGAAATTGGAATGTTACCTAAACTAGAATGTTAGCATGAACAAAGTGACTTTTTCTCACTCAATCATGATGATCTTTATATGTTACCTGTCTTTGAATAATATCCAGTAAAAAATCAGGACTTCTACTTCTGCATAGCAGCTGTCCAACTTTGAGTGTTTTGTTCAGCACTCGCAACTGTTCAAGAACGGCAGATGGTGGCTTTCTGGCTAATCCTCTGAAACGATAAATATCATACAAAATACATCTTTTATCCAACTTGTCCAGAAACACAATGGTATATCAAAACATACTCATGTTTAACGTATGAACTGTAAAGCATCAGCCGCTTTGAAATTTTGACTCGAGTCTGAATATTACCTGAAAGAAAATGTTACCCAAATGCATTCAAATTACACTACTTCTAATCTACAAGCATGGACTTCAGCTGTAAGCTGTATAAAAACACCATGTCTTACCTAGGATCCATAGATGTCAGCTGGGAGATAAGATGGCTGTTTTGTTCTGTGATAGTCATCTTACTGGTAGCTGCTGCCAGGTAGCCCTCAAACTGAAGGATTTCCTGTTTCTCCAGCTGGGCAATCTTTACAGGAGAACACAAAGAGTTCATTAATAATTCTAAAACTTAGGGTTAATAATATTTTCTGGGCCTAAGAACAGAAATTATTCATTTAATTTAAATTAATACAGTTTCCTCTTTGTTAAAAAAACTTTAAATTAATGATTCAGAATTTCTGACATCAGAAAGTACATTTTTTGTGAGTAATCATTCAAAAATGATAATCCTTGAAAAAGATAAATATTGGGAAAAGTGAGGGGTTCAACAATCTAAAGTAATTACCACAAATTGTGTTTTAGAATGAGATACTGTGAAACAGTTTCGAGTTGTACACAAATGTTGAAATCATGTAGAAATGAATGATTTTTAAATGACTGATATATCCAAGATTATGTATCAAGTACATATGATGACATGTGTGTTTAAATGAGTGAAATATTTACAAACATCACTGCACTGGTGAATAGAAGGACTATCAAAATGTGAGTGATCAAGAAACAACAACATTGATATGCAAATCATTCATTGGAAAATTATAATTAGAAATAAGTGAAAGTAAAAAAAGTCACCTGCTTTTCTTTTGCTTTATATTCATCAATGGTTTTCTCATCAGTTGTCACAGTGGGTGGAGGAAAACGGAAAGAGCTAAAGTGATTGTTATAAATTCATATATGAATATGATATATTTGAGATTCAATAAGCAAGATTCTGTTCAAAACAAATTCAAACTGTTTTACTTATTAAATGTTACCTAATCAAACAAGAACCAACTTTAAAAAGAAAAGTTAAGTCTAAAAAGGAAAACAATCTCTGTTAAAACTTTACATAAATAAATAAATAATTAAATAAGGAGTCTTACTTTGTCATCACCATCTCCATCATCATTTTGAGAGTTGGATAATTTTCCCAGGCAGCATAACCTGGAATTATAAAATTTTAAAAATCAATTAAGTTTTACAAGTCTAAAATCACTTCAGTGATCAAAATGAATTTTAATAATACATCCTTACTTATGTCAAAAGCTAGTGCTTCAAATGCCTAAATAAGGAATTTGTGAACTAGACATATTCTGCTCATTCTGACCGCACAAAAGTCAAATCAGCAGTTGAATACTTTCTGTACACACTTACCAAATGTTGCAGGATTAAAAGCAGAAATTATCAACAACATAATCCATGCTTTCCAAAAAGAGTTTGAGATGGCCAGCATGGGAGGTTTATACCCCTTTGGAAGCTGTATGTTCTCTGGGTGGTGGTAGGTACACAGGTTGAGTAAGGCATCTATCAGCTCCAGTCTCTCCACATGTAATACATCATAACCTGAAATTTGACATCCAAACTGTTCTTATAATCAGTTTAAGGCATGACCAATATTCACACAATACATGTCTTTCCTCAATTAAAATATCATATGTTTTGAACAACAAGAAATACAAATACATAACAACTATTGGATTAAGGCACTCATAACCTAAAAACTGCCATCTATGAATTACAAAATACAGGACAGGCCATATAAGTCTGTTCAATCCAGCTGCTTTGTAGACAACACTAAAAAACATCACTCATAGCTGCCAGCTTTACCATGACCAGGTTTTTTGATGTTAAACCTATAGTGTATAATATTTTTTTCTGCACAAAGCAATCTAATTAGAAACAAATAACAGCAGATCAACCTCTCTATTTAATGTCAAATAACAGCTACGTAATTTGCTAACCACAACATGCATTTCATCCTATATGTATGGATTGTATGTGTGTTATCATATTTTAATTATTTATTAAAAAATCATTTCCAGCACCTACCCTCTGTGTGCAGTGCTGCTGCCCTCTTCACCAGCTGATCAGCTAACTCCAGAGCATCCACTGCACTGATGGGCAGCTCCTTAGCCAGACCTATGATCAGAATTCTCATCAGGGTATCTTCAAGGACAGGAACTTCTGATGTCAGACGAAGCATCATGCTGTGAAAGAAAACATCTTATTAATAACTTATATGTGTTTTTCCAATGTTAGCAAACCAAAAACATGAAGGTGCAAAAAGCAACTTTCAATGTTACCTTAAATGCAACTTTTTTAGCACTTTAACCACACAGTCAGCTGAAGCCAATTTTGATAACTTCCATTCTCATTTTAGTAAATATCCCCTATGGCCTACATTGAGCTACTTACTTTCTATCTCCCTCTGGTGGCCAGTTGTCCAACTTGTAATACTGCTCTGGCTGCTCCATGAAGAGAACTTTGTGAATACTAAGAAGAAAAGTGAAGCGATATGTCATACTCTTTAAATGTGAATTTTCACAACAATTACCTTGAATGAGAAAAAAGTATTACGAAAATATCATTTAAGGGGCACATACTAGAAATATCTTAGAAGGTACCCACCAGTGAGCATAGTCATTCTGTTTAATCCTGAACATGACTGGGACCACAGTGTGGAGCCACCATATGCTGTCCCTTTGTATGATGGCAACTTGACTTTGGAATTGCCGCAGAATTGCCATATCTAAAGTATAATTGAATTAGATAAACTGTGGTTTGCCAGTTTTATATATAACATAGTCAAACAGAAAAACCTCTGAAGAGGTCTCACAATTCTGTAATTTTCAGAAATTATAGACTCACATTCAGGCAACTAAATTTCAAACTCAGTTTCAATTGCTTTTTACAGGAGTCAAAATCAATATCTTTCATCTGGCTTAAACAGAGTAAATACTGTCAAAACAATAGCAATAGGGAGACCATTGAATACAGCTATCATCCTCACCTCTCTGATCACCTCTTGCCTGTGCAGTAACAGCCTCACGCACTCCTGGTGTGATACTTAGTAACTGACACAAAGAGATCAAATCTGTCAGTCCTTGGAGCAGACGATCCTAAAACATTTCAGTGATAAATTGTTTAATAATCATACAATGTATCTGATTTTTTTAAATTTATGCATCACAAATCCATACAATTCTCCCTTTACTGCATCAATAGTCTCATCTAACTCAGCTGCCACATATATGCTTTTAGTGTTCTCTATTTTGCATAGATTTACAGTGATTTTTTTCAAAAAATAAGCACAAAATTATTTTCAATTTCACCTTCAGAGGGCCATCTAACTCCATGAATTTAAGTTCAGTTCTTTCCCTCATCAAGCCCAGAGCAAATGCTGGGAAGTTCACATCATATCTCAGAGACCTTGCTATCTCTCTGAACAAAGCCCTCAAAGCTCTCAGGTAGTCATCCTTGTTTGCTAGTAGGTCTTGAAATATCTCTGCCAATAGCTAAAAGAGTAAATATATTATTCTTTAAGAGTCTTTTTTTAAGTTAAACATATTTTGCTAACATTCAAAGAAGGCTGCAAAGACATCTTTATTTAAGTGTACTTAATCAAAATGGCAATATAAAATGTTCACTTGTAAATGACATTTTCCTTCATGACATTAAAATAAAAAAGGTACAAGATGGTGAACAGAATAAATCATAATCACAATAAAAAATCAATATGAGATATATAAAGTAACAAAAGGTGTTGTTTCATTACCTTTGGTGCCTCCTCTGGGGCAAACTGGAATATGACCCCCAATATGGTCATGTTGTTGGGGTTCCTTGTGTTGGACAGCTCATTGTAGATAGTATGGGTCAGCAGGGTCTTTAAGTTATCTGGATGCTGACCAAGAAGCTCTCTAGAATTGGGAAATTACAAGGTTTCAAACTCAATATTTTCACCGTTTGCCAATTTCGATATCAATTTTTTTATTTTTATTTGAAAAATGCTAGGATGCAATATAATAATGCATGACGGAAAAATGCACTAGCAATTATGCACTTGAGTGAATAATGTTTAAAAAAAACAATGTTTGCTTTTTACTTTTTATTTTTTCCAACTTAATTATTCCCACAAGACTTACTTTATACACAGCAAGTAATGGTTCACCACTGGTTTCATCTTCAGTCTAATCTTGCACAGGTTCCCCATGACTTCCACATCATGGTGATTGTGTTCACTGCAGTTGGCACATACAGACATCAGCAGATCCTGGGCTGTACGGCTCAACTAATGGATAAAGAAATGGTACAAGGTAAACTATGTATGTCTGTGCATAAGTGCATGTGTGTGTATGCATGTACGTGTGTCTGCTGATCAAACGTTCAGGTTTTCCACATCATGGTGAAAGTGTGCACTACAGTAAGCTGCATGCCCCAACTATTCAAAAATATTGGAAAATCCACTGTCATGATCAGATTAACAATGGCTTACTCAGGTCACTTAAAATGATTATTTTCAGTTCAATCTTGTTGCAGGCACCATGTTTTGTGAAATCACGCTGTTCTTCAGTTTATTTTCAAACATGCAGTACTTTTTACAAAACGGTATTTGCCACATACTTTAGGGTTTTGTAGCCACATCTCCAGTCTCTGGGAAGCCAGAACTCTGACCTCACTGTAACCACAAGTGGCTGTCATCAACTTCAGCAGTTGTTTGGATATGGTGTCCATTCCCTGCCTCCTTGTTAACTGATCTCTTAACACCTCCAGCACATAGCTCTCTATACTCTCATGCTGGTACATGTATCTGTTAAAATAAAGGACAGGTGTGAAGATACTTTGAGGTGATTTCTGTATTTGAGGTTTGTCTTGGGTTTTTAGTGTGAAGAGTAATATATTTCACTTTAAAATCATAAATCACAAGTCATTTCAACTAAAAAATATCACCTGTCTCACCTTAAAATGTTTTGCACACATCACAAATATAGGAAAAGAAAAACTTTCAATTTTTACTATTCTGCTTCGGTAAGGCAACAAGAATTAAGCTCCAAACTATACCTGGGATACATGGGAACATCTTGTGCGGCATCAGCAGCCAGTGAAGAGCCTGGTCTGCTACCAGAGTCTGACTGCCCCTGGCTGTCTTCATCAAGTACAACTGGGCTAGAAACTGAAACACAGCAAAATTAAATCTCTGTGAAAGATCAATAAAATGTCAAAAATGGTTAAAATAATATCTGTCAGTTGAAAAGGTTATATTATCATATGAGGTATGTTATCTTTGTTGTAGTGAGTAATAAGCTGAAAGTTTTAGTACCTGTTGGGAGGTCAGGTTTATCCAGTGCTGCAGTAATGGCTCTTGTTGGTTTTCTTGTGTTGAATGCTGACTGTATATTCTCCACAAAACCTCTGCAATCTTCTCTGTCAACCCAGATGCGCTCACCTATAGAGTCTTCAATGAACACCTGCATTGGATACAATTCACAAATATCTTAAATTGCAATAAATGCAATATACCAAATAATGAATACACATTCACTAAAAGTTTTTTTTTCTTCAGTACTTCTGTGTTCCATTTTGCAATTTCAATTTGCCCATACAAATATAGTCTATAAATTGCAGGCAGTTGTTTTTGAGGGAGAAAGACATATCAGGTATGACTGTTCATTAGAGAATTTCATTAACGAATCTGAATCTCTTCAGCATATAACCAACCTTGAGAAAGGCATCAGGCCAGTTCTCTTCATCTTGGAATGCAGCCATGAGTACATTGCAAGCCAACACAGAGACCAGTGCATTCCCTTTAGCTTTGAAATTAATGGATACATCCCTCTTTAAGATGCTGCAAAAAGCCTACAATGCAAAATGCTGAAATGACTGCTTTTACCTCTTAAATCAAGGTACCACAGAAATTTTAGTCCATACTGAATGAGTCAGCACCTATATATTAAAACACCTCTGAAATAATAACAATCAGCTTTCCTTCAGAAAACTAATCAAAGAATGCACAAATGTATTGCTATTCAATATCCATTTCAGTTGGAAAGGTGTATTTTAAACTGGATAAGAATGATAAAATACCATTGTCTTGTGTCTCACTTACATCCATGACCACCTCACTCCCAAACAAAGAGGCTCTACTCTTGGACAGATACATTAGGCTGAGGTACAAGGGAGGAGCAGGCTTGGCTCTATTAGCTTTCAAGTGCTTCACAGCACCACATATCAAACCCTCAAGCCTTTCATCACTCTCCATCTCTTCTGCCTCTAGAATGCTGTCCAGAAAGTCTGACGGGTCACCTAGGAAAGTGCACGTGCAAAAGAGTAAATCAGTTTTGAGCATAAGAGTATTATTCTGAAGTATATTTAAGTTTTGTTAATAAGAACATAGCTTTATATAAGGTGAATTAAGCACTCAAAATAGCACAGCTCCATCAGATAGAGCTCAGTAGGACTCCTAAAAAGAAGCCATAAAAACTCAAAAAGGTCAGGTGAGCTAGAGTACAAGTATATAAGAATAACAATATATTTGTTTACATTATAGGGCAACCCATAATTCAGATATCAAAAATCTGCCTAAAAATTTATTAACACATGAGATGACTGTTCCATAAGATATCAATATGAAAGGTACTCACTGTCAATGGCTATCTCTTCATACAATACAGTCTGTCTGGCAGGAGAGCCTTTCCCTTCTAACCCTCTGCCCAGGGGCATGGGTGCAGTGCTGAGTTTAGGCTTCTTGGAAAGTAAACTGGACCCCAGTCCTCCGGGTACATCACGTTTGGTGGGTGGAAGTAATTTCTTTGGCTGAGTGGCTTGAAAGATATTGGGATCTGATCCAGTTTTTCCTTTAGCCCCTACAAGGCAAAGTTGAGAAATATTGATCAATGGAATGCTTTCATATTAATTATATTTTTAAAGATTGTTGCTAAAAATCACTGTTATAACTATATACAACTACTTAATAATTTCTTGAAAATTTGATGTACAGTGATACAAGTGAATTTTACTATTCTAAACATATTTAGGTCCCATTAAGTTTTGAGCTTAAATTTAAAGTATTCAAATAACAATGTTCAGAAACATTGTCACCATGACATACCCAGTGCTATCACATCCATTGGTGGGGCATGGCCTGAAATAGCAAATGATGACTATTCAAGTAAATCTTGTTATTGACAGTGAGAAGTATCATTTTTCATTTTTAAAATTGTACTTTATACAATATAATGAATCTACTTTTTACTGATCCAATATGCTTTGTTACACCTAACTGTACTTCACAGCAGTAGTGCATTTTCATTTTAATATTTGCAATTCGAAACACCAAGATATGTTATTACGTATAAAAATTAATAAGCGAACTAAAGTATTTACTCTGACTGAAGTATCACTGACTTATGCTTGTTACTAGTTGTAAAGGTTTAGGTGTAAAAACACGAGATTATCTGCGATTGCAAATCTAAATGAATGCTTTTAATCATATCAAGTATCCTCTATGTTGTATACCTTTGCCTTTTGGTGGGCGCTTTACACCTGGCTTCAAGCGATCCATTCTAAGCGTTTTATGATTTAACTAGTTGGTATTTAAGTTGCAGGCCGCATCTCATGCACTGCACAGCGATTAAAACAGAGATCAATTAATTGAATATAGGCTCATCGTATAGGTTATATTTAAATGCAGTATTCGTAAAAATAATAAAATATGAGTTTTTTCTCGTTAAATGAATAATTCTATTAAAATTAACCACGATAATGTTTAGAAATATGATAAATTAGGCAATAAGTTATTCCCCCAAAGTCTCAATTTTTAAGTATTCGTTTTCCGGTCTTCATTTACAGAAAACCGCAAGAAGAAATATATTCAGAGAATCAGGCGTTTCACTTGGTTTTCAGCTTAACGTCGTTACTTAACTATTTTGATAAAGATGTTTCTTTTAAATGTGCCAGTTTGTGTAAATTTCAGATGAGTATATATGATGAACTCCTAGCAACTCGTTCATTGAACGGAAGTTTATTGACGTCAATATGACTCACGCATGCGTGATGATTTCTTAATTTTTCTCAGTGTTTTCTGCTAGTAATCACATTCATTATTCAAATCTCGTGATGCTGCCTTCCATATGCATATTTACGTGACTTGACTGGCGTTTTGTGACACAATTAGTATAAGGTAAGGACATGCCCACAAACTACGTAAATTGTAGACCTTCTCCCAGAATATTACCCCAATTATATTTCAAAGTACATGTAGAAGATAGAAGGAACAAATGGCTAAGACGAACTCGAAGACTGTCTAATGTAAACACTAAAATCAGAATCTATAAAAAGAAACAGAGTGAGGTACAGTATGTGCGGTTTTAGCTATGAATAATTAGCCTTGTCGGAAAACAGATAACATAATTTCATCTGATTATATCTCGTTTCTGAATTATCAAGGTGAAAACCTTTAGCAGCTGTTTTTATGATACAAAAAGTACTAGTAATAGTATCTTTACTCTTTCTAATTTTAATCTTATGATAGCTATCCAAATAGTCATGTGAAATGTTTAAAACTCATTGCTTTTTGTGATGCCTTTTACGTTTGAGCAAATGCTCTGATGTATTATTTTAATGTTGCTGAAGCACCACTACCAGTGTGTAATTTCCACAAAATCATTATGTCATGGAGTAACAAGGTATCATTCATTTCAAACTGAGTAACAGTTCGGGCTAATGTGATATTATTGTGTTCACAATGGTATTAGCCAGGTAGTGTCAGTTAAATTAATCCTAACTTTGGTATTTCCTGAAAGGATTAATATAGTCATATAATACAATAGAAATCCCAGATGAACCAACACTTACAGCAATTTCTAGATACTGAAACAATGCACCCTGTTGGTCTGTTAGCACATGTCAACTAACACCAAAAGGAAAAGGAAGTTTATTGTTCAAAACGTGATACTCATTTTTTTTTTCCAAGTTGTAGTTTACTTAGTACATAGTAGTTCAATAGGCACTATGGTTTTAAGTTCTTAATTACCATAGGAAGTTATTAAAATGCCACCCGGGATTACTTAAAACCATTGCAACTGGTTGTGTGCTTGACAGCAGTTGAGTTAGATAGATTGGCTTTCTTTAGTCAGAAATCCCAATCTGTGTTGAGATAGTAAGTATTAAGTCAGCTTGGAGGAAAAATTGACCCAAGAATCAAGACACTACTACCCTGGGTATGAGGTGACATTTTGTTATAACCACTGGAATTGATTGAATGGTATGTTGCAATAGCAAGGTAAGGACATATAAGATCTTAGTGAAAATATTATTATGTAGATAGCTTGGGGGTATTTTGTATAATTGCATGGAATGGGAATTGAATTTTCCCTGAGGACTATACAGAATACACATGATATGATGAAAATATTACAAGTATTTCACTGTGTTAGAAATTGTTTCTTTTCTGTTACAAGTTTTAAGTTTTTACATAGAAGTATTTCAACCAGCTTTGATACAATATCTGAGCATTGCTGGTTCAAAGGTCTTTGGAAACTTTTCCCTTTACAAACAAAAGGTATTAATTAATGGTGTGCTGTATGGTATTGTATGTGTTAATTGCCTCTGGATAATGGCATGTATGTAGATGTAACATGTATCGTGCATGCAATATATGAGCAAAAATTATCATTATTACTATTTATTAGCCAAAAATACTGTCTGTGAAACACATTGCTTGGTGACGAAAAGTTAAATTCATCATTGACATGTTTCTGATTGCTGTGGCATTGAGTTAAAGCAAATATTAAGCAATGGATACAACAGAAAGCTAAAATACATCCTAAAATTTAAATAGTAAGATCATGGAAAAAAGCAACAGAATTATATATGAATGATATACTTAACTAGTACTTTGAATCCATGTCATTGAAAGAAGTACATGAAGTAGGTTACACTGTATCTGGCACCACTATCAAAAAAGTAAATAGATAAAAAGTAGGGAAAAAAGTGTCAAATTTTGTCTGCTTGATGTTTATGTTGTAATTATACATATTGGTGTTATGCGGGTGATCAGGCATACTACATGGGAGAAGGCAAGGCTTACAGCTTACGCCAGGGGTTATGAACACAATATATGTTGGTATAATCAGATATACTATATACTGTGATGTCAGCAACCCTGTAATGCTTTGCAAGCCACTCTGCAGGGGTTTCCGTTATTTTCTTCACAGTTCTCTGCCTCCCACTTTCTCAGTGTATATTCACACTGAAAAAAATTGAGCCGGTGCTAGAGCAATATTATTGATATCATAGCAATATGACAGTTGCCCTTGCAGCAGTGCTCCACCTTGTTGAATAGAGGGGTTCACTCTGTTCACTGGGACAGGCAAACACTGAACTGGCAGTATTCCAGTTTCCATTTTGTATCAAACATTAAAACTTGCTTTGATCTGGAGGGATTTTTTCCATGTGAATGCAACCTAGGTTAGCATTGTGAGTGGAGCAGCCAGCAAACCTCTGAACAGATAAGTGATGCTTAGTATGCTAATGAAAAATCAATGCTCGGGAGAAACTGCTATAGAAACAGACTAATATGAACATGCAGGAGAATATGTGTCTTCTTAAGTAGGGCCTGCTTGCCTGCTCTACCATATGGAGCGTGACACATTAGATCGGTAAAGAGTGAGGGAATTTGCTTGATACTCGTGAAGGCCTCATCAGTGAGGAGTTTCATTAAGGTAGAGAAATGGGAGGATTGATGATATACATTGAAAGACTTAATGTGACCTACAGGTCCTGATTACTATGCAGATACAGTAATATGTACTTACTGTGGATATTTCCTTTTATTTATCTTTAGGATTTGTTTAATAATTTCTGAGGTTGATAAGTCTTTTTAAAATATGGCATTATCTTGGTGTTGGATACACATTTAATTGGTTCTGAATGGTGTGAAGTGATTAAATTAGAAAAACAGTACCATATGGTGTATTTCTAGCTGCAATATTGTTTTGAAGAAATAAGAACAGGTTTGCTTTTTCCAGTAAGGGGAATTTTTAAGTGTGTAGTTAATCATTGTAGTACTCAGATGTTTTTTTTTTTTTTTTTTTTTTTTTTGCAGATATTTTGTTTGGCAATTGAATTGTTAATGTTCAGCTTCCACTTAATGTAGTTATAATGAGGGCATAAATGCAGTCACGAGAGCAATTAAATCAACAAATATGCTGCAGCATTTACATTAAATTGCATATTATTGAAAAGTTATTCATCCCTTATTTCCCAAATAGCCTGCGACAATCTAGCCATTCAGCACTAAAATTGTGCCTTTTATAGAGATATGCATCAAAAATTAAGGTAAATTAAGCAATGGGATTTAACAAAAAGCTTTGCGTCACAATGCACATTCTTACCTTGAATCAGTTCCCCCCCCCCCCCAAAAAAAAAAGGAAAGAAAGAAAGAAAAAGATAAAATCAAAAAAAAGCAACAGGTGAATATAAGCCTTTTTGTGTACCAGTACAGAATCGCACCACAAGCGAATTGGGATACTGTGTGTTCTTTTTTCAGAAAATGATGCTAATCAAGGAACATGATTATAGTTATTACTGTAATGTCAGTCTAGGTTCTTGATATGATATAGTGAGAAGGTGGCCATTTTTACCGTGGCAGTTATTTTTAAGGTTTTTGATAACCATGCTTGATTTAAATTAAGGTTGCCTGTCAGTTAACCATAGGAATTCTTTGACATTGTCGAGTCTCGAACCGATAATGAGTGAAAACTGCATTTTAGTTGAAACAAAAGAAAAACCTTTTACATACACAGAAATTATGCAAACTAATTTAGTGTAGAGCCTTCCTGTCTAGTTTTCTTTTCTTACACACTGTAAGAGAGATTTTTTAACATGACACATCTTTCCTGGGCCCATTTCAGGACAATATTTCGATTAGAAAAATGGCATAATAATCAAAATCTGGAAGTTTTGAACCAAATTAATGTAAAATAATCAACTATTTTACATTTTCCTTAGTCAAAATTTTCCCTAGCCAATTATGTTCAACATTTTTCTCAAATTAAACATGTTAAAAAGAGTCCAGTTTTAAAATTTTTATCATTTATTTTATTTATTTGCATTCAGGTGTTTATTCTGCATTTCCAGATGGCTGGTGTCAATAACTCCAGTACAACAGTCCATGGCTCTGATGTCACTGCCACAATCTTTACTGCAGCTAGTACAATGTTAACAGAGAACACGGGATCCCAGAGTCCACAGAATACAACCCCCATCATCAATGTGACCACCCACCAGCCACCTATATTCCTACAGTCTGCTGCAGCACAGGGCATTTCTGGAGCACTGGCATTTGCTGCACTGTTTATTACAGTGCACCAGGTGAGGTTGGGGAATATGGTTTAGAACATGTAACCTGGTTGGCATGGAAAGATATCTTTGCATCATCTGTGATGTACTTTTTCACCTAATATTAGAGGAAGCTGAACCCTACATTTCACGTTGGGGGTACTATGCCTAATGTAGGGGAAGTTTTTCACATTATATTGGGGTGGGAACATTGGTGGCACTCATCAATTGGGTTTTTTTCTGGGATTAAGGGCAAAGATTTGCTTTGTTTTAAAACAAGATTTTACTCCTTGCCAATTTACATTGGATTTATTGTGAACTGAATGTGAAAAACTGAAAGCCACTTGTTACTTTCATAAGTAGGGTGATACAAGATAAGCATTTTTGATGCCAGGCCAGTTTCACTTCACACACATATATCATGTATCTTTTCGAAAGCAGTGTAAGTTATTTGTGCAAGGGAATGAAGACAAGACAGAGTTTAAAGGTATTGATTGGCACAATTCAATTTCAGTTGCTAGTAATTTGCAAATTTGACTTCACCCATAGCACTTGGAACCAAATCAACTAAGCTTAAGAGATATGCTGGTGAAATTTCATTATTTTCATTGGTTATTTGTAACAAGTTGAAATGTCTTGCCTCCATGGAAAAAATGGCAGATTGCACTATACTGATAAGGTTCTGATCAAGCTCTACTTTCAACAAATTTCATTTTCTATTAGTTTCACCACAGCTATGAAAATATCAGTGTGTATGCACTCTAGGGTCCTGTTGGACTTTAAAGGTATCCCTTTTCCTTTCCTGTCACACTCTATTGTACTAATAAGTGCACCAGACTTTGGTCACCAAATTCAGGGTAATACCACATTTCAGACTTAATTGTGAATCAGTCAGCAAAAGCAGAACTGCAGTTGAATTTTCATTATGCATCAGTTTACTTTCAATTTGCTTATTTCTGATTGAAAATAATAGACATATTGTTAAGCTGATTGTGCTAGTTGTGCTAAGACAACAAACTGTGTTGTACTCCAACACAATGAAGGATATTGGAGAAAGGTTCAGTTCTGAGGAAGACTATCTTAGCTAACACAATTTATGTCCTCTTGTCTAGAATATTGATCCACTGAACAAAGGAATGATAAGGACATTGAGCACTTATATTCATTAGAATATAATACTAGTTTATATGTACACATAAGGTTTTCCTTGTTTTTTTATTTTTATTATTGTTTTTTTTTTCAAAATATTGGGTGATGATATTATGATTTCTCACAGCTTTTTTGTCAGAAGCATTGCAATATGGAAAATGGAGAATCAATAGATTATGATGCAGTAATGTTAATTAAGTATGTCAACTCTAATTATGATGTATGTTTTTCTCCAGATCTATCTGTATTTGAGATATTACAATGTCCCCAATGAGCAGCGTTGGATTGTGCGAATCCTGTTCATTGTCCCCATCTACTCCTTTGACTCCTGGCTAAGTCTCATGTTCTTCAGCAATGACAGCTATTATGTTTATTTTGACAGTGTGAGGGACTGTTATGAAGGTGAGTAGGATGCTCATTATTATACAATTATGGACTTAAGATGATGTCAACATGTTGTTTTTTAGACTTTGAAAGTGATACTGACTTGGGTACATGGCAGAACAGAACTCAGAAAAGAGATATCAGGTTGAGATCTCTGCTCTGAGTTCTGTAAAACAACATATTCCTATCATCCATTTTTTTTTTGATTATTTTATTGATAAAAAGTTTCCTTTTCTCTGATCAGTCAAAAGTGCAGTAGCGTCTGGTAAATAAAATTATTTTTTATCAGACCTCATATCCATTGATACATCAATAATGAGATGACAACAGTATGATTGATTTATAACCTGAATATTTCAGCTTTAGTTGCTTTCTTGGTGAACATTGACGTTTGGGTTGGAAATCTGCTTGAGCTTTCAGTCAATATGTTGTTTTGCAGACCTCTGCCAAAGTCAATAGTTGTATGTTATCATCATAAAGACACTTTGGAGCATGTTTTTATTCTTTAGTGTTTGGTTTTAAAATATAATCATTGCAACCAGAAACATGTACAGGCATAATATTGTTAAGATTATGTAGAATGAATCACATAATATTGTTTTCACTAATAAAAAGAGACACAAATGCAATATAAAGGTATGTAATGAAACTAATGATACATAAAAAGCAAGATTTCCTGGCATGCTCATTAACTTGATTGTCACTTCACAGATTCATGAAATGGTCTTTTCTATTTGTAGCATTTGTCATCTACAATTTCCTGAGTCTGTGTTATGAATACCTTGGTGGAGAGGGTGCAATAATGACAGAGATTAGAGGAAAACCAATAAGGTGAGATGTAAAATCTGTTTAGATCAATTATAAATATATGATAATTGATCTTCAACAAGGTTCCCTAACTACCCCATGTAGTTGTGAGCATTTCTGCCATTTCCACACAATTTTTATAGATTTGCTGCCATTTTTCCTCACTCTCAAGCTTTCTCCCACAACACTACTGATATGTTTTGTGTTTCTCCCACATACTTACAGATTTTCCCTCTTAGCTAACGATGAAAAGACTCTGTGACCCATGCATTGTTGCAAAAGGCAATTAAAGCAACCGTGTCAATTCCCAAAGTAATTTAAGGTTTCAGTTAGCAGATCATACGTTCAGATTTGTCTGCAAAAACCTCTGGAGGCTGAGCTTTTTCATGTCGAGCAAATTTGAAGTATTGATTAGGAATGAATAGAATGATTTATTAGGTTAGTGAACTTTTTCAAGCTGTCCTGTATCCTGTGTTGCACAAAGATCTGTAATTTACTAGTGCTGTATTTGTACATTGGATTTACCTTACAAGCTTATGCAAATTGTTATGTATTAGGTTTGTCAGACATATGATGTATAATGAATTTGCAAATTTTTATAGAAGAAATTAGATTGCTATATTTACTGCTCCAATGGTGAAAAATACTTTTCGCAGTCATTTGTGTTTAGTAACATAGATGTCATAAACTGCTTCTTTCAAACAAGTGAATTTTTTTTTTTTTTTTTTTTTTTTTTTTTTTTTTTTTTTGGGCAAAATAATGAAAATAAGATGGAATTCCATTATCAGAGATGCATTTGTTGATATGAACTGTGATTGATAAAAGTGATTTGGTTTTTCATTTTTTTTAAATCACTTGGACTTATAATTTTTTGGTTATGAAGACTTGAGGTGGTCTGGTCTTGCTAATTTATTGGGGTCTTTGTTGTTGCAGGGCCAGTTGGTTTTGGTGCACGTGCTGCTTAGCTGGCAAGACGTACACCATCGGATTTTTGAGATTTTGTAAACAGGTGAGTAATATTGCCTGCTTTAAATGAAGAAATGCATTTTTTTGTCTGATATTTAAAACTAATTCAGGGTATTACTGCAGTGCTTTTGTCAGTTAAATGTTTCTGTATATAACATTCTTCAATTTGATTATTTTATAATTATCTTTTATTTAGACAGAGTAATGAATCAATCAGTTTTTTATAAATTGTAGGCTACCCTTCAGTTCTGCATTGTCAAGCCAGTGATGGCTATTATAACCCTCATCCTGCAGCCATTTGACTATTACAAAGACGGCAATTTCTCGTAAGTAATTACCCATTTCCAGTTGGCTGATTTGAATTTGTTACCTCTGGATGGCTTGTTATTTCAAAGCTGATATAGTCTTAAGAAAACAGTGAATCTGAAAAGTATCTTAAATGTAAAGAAGATCTATTTGAGACAGATATCAATATCATCCTACTGATGCATTCCCCTATGTCAGCGTTGTGATATGCCTGGTGGTGATATACTGTAATATTCAATAATAATATGTTGAAATAAAGGCTGTAATTGGGGAGAAGACTATTCACATTTTGTAAGATTTGTCAGATGATTGAGCAGAAATACTCTCGGACTGATTAAAAAGATCACAATCACTACTGGTATTTTGAGTTTGAAATCATGAGGTTTGATGGGATTATATATCTCTAGGCTAGCAGAGTACTTGAGCAGCTGTTGAACAGTTGCTGTGCACTTCTTGCCTCAAATATGTTTACTCTGTGTTTTTACTGTACAAACTTTCTGTAGCTCATTCAAATCAGTGTTCCACATGCTTTTCTTAAGTGGGTCTGATGGAATCAAGGTGAAAGACGAGAAGATAATCTGTTGGGACCTAATTCAACATTCGTCTGCCATAAAAAGTTTCTTATATTACCCTTATCTCCCACATTTATATCATTTTGTTTTATTCCCAACATTTCTGTGCCATTTCATATCACCTAAATCTGTCACATATTACCATTGTGCTTTAAGCTACACACGAATACAGAACCAAACTTTTCTATTTTAGCCCAGAGAGTGGTTATCTGTACATTACCATAGTCTACAATATATCAGTGAGTCTGGCCCTGTATGCCCTGTTCCTGTTCTACCAGGCCACCAAGGAACTGCTTAGCCCATATGATCCAGTGCTGAAGTTCTGTGTTGTCAAGTCAGTCATTTTCTTGTCATTCTGGCAAGGTAAGTGGTATTTTGATTATAGGAAATGAAAAAGTACATGTTGTGGGAATTGATTTTAGATCGAATGTCGAAATGTGATTGTTTCTAAGGCCAACAAGGCAGATTTGAGAAATGTTATATCAAGTGGAGTTTTGAATTTCAATTAGCTTTTGTTGAGGTTTCCTCAATCTGTTTGCTAAGATTACAAGGTGTCTGAGATCTGAAACTCCATGTGAGTTCACATAGAGCCTTAAATGACCAATCAAATTAGACTGTTTAAATCACACTGCTGGCTTAGAAATGTGTTTCCTGGCTACATTTAAACTAAATCATACTAAAGCACAACCAATAGTAATTCTCACAACCTTATGTGAATACTGAAGCATCATCTTATGATAATGAATGTATGTAAAAATAGCAAATCACTATTAAAACTTTTGAAATCTCTTCCCCTTAAATGCATTCGAACATCTGTTACATTCATTTTCTCTCTTACAGGAGTGGTCCTTGCCATCTTAGAGAAGGCAGGTGCTATAAGCCCCATTTATTCAGACAACGGAGTCCAAGTAGCAGGCCAAGGAACAGTGGCAGCTGGATACCAGAACTTTTTTATCTGTATCGAAATGTTTGTGGCTGCCATTGCACTGAGATTTGCATTCCCACACAGCATTTACATGGACCAGCCGGCGACAGGCCACGGGCGCACGGTGTCCCTTCAGAGTATTTCCAGCAACCTGAAAGAAACCATGAACCCCAAGGATATCATGCAGGACGCAGTGCACAACTTCCACCCGCAGTACCAGCAGTACACTCAGCATGATACCAAGATGTCCAAGGAAGAGGAAAGGATCGAGGCTGAAAGGGACAGGAGATACCAACAAAATGGTGAAATTCAACGGCATCAGCAATTGCAGCAGCAGCAGCAACAGCAACATCATCGCCCACAAGGTACACCTGCAAAAATGAGGTACAATGAAAAGACTACACTTCTGAGTTCTGATGACGAGTTTCAGTAAAACTTACATGTCTTACATTGAGGAGGAAATCTCAATTTAGGCACTGACTTAGAAAAACCAAAATCAAGCTTACTATAAAGAATCTGCTAGATAACAAGTTGATTGATAAGGTTTTCATAGGAAAATTGAATAGAAATATCCTCGTCTTGATTGAATAGACCATATTATTCACGGGCAATTTTGTTTAAGTTGATAGTTTATCTGTAATTTCTTATGGTAGTTTCTTTTCTGAAGATAGGATTAAATTACTTAAACTTTGCAAGGTACTGCATCTACAGATAACCAATTGCTGTTGGTATTAATACTTTTTTATTTAGTCAGAATAGTACTTTGGAGCTGCAATATTCAGAGAATATTGTGAATGCAAGTGTATCAGTGCATCAATCTGTCAATTTATAGTACCAGCATAGACGTCCAATCCCAAGGACTAAGCCCAAGCAAAATGTGAGGCCCTTGGTTCAAGGACTTATTCCTATCTATCCACTATGCTTGATTGGTTTAACTGGACTCCTGTGTCTTATTTTATACTAAAGCATCGTACAATCTAGTCTCCTTGATAGATATTGTAATGGACATAAGGTTTTCACTGAGGAACACATGGTAATGTGTTTGTACATTTAACTGTAGCACTTCTATATATAAGCATTATCCTTGTAACTTAATCAGTCAAGAAAATGAGTTTCTTGTCTGTGTCTGTTTACTTTGGTGAGGATGGAAAGATTTGAACACCAGCATGATTGCAGTATTTTATAAAGACGAGATATTATATTTGATTGGGTTCTTGAAGGTACACTTCTTAGGCGATGTGAAACCTGAAATGGCAAACTGTTTAATAGCACAGTGTTGTGACCTTTAGAGAGTTCAGTGTGATTGATAGATTGTTTCCTTTAGAAAAGACAGAATTAATAAGAGAACTTTCTATAATCTGATTTTAGCTGTTTCTAACAGTATATATCAAATCAGTTTGTAAAAAAAAACCTGATGTGATAATATTTATTTGCTGTAATATTTTGGATGTTGTCATTGTTATTTGCTTTGTTTCAACATGGTGCCATTTATTGTAAGAAAAGATTATTTATTGATATGACACATAACAGTTTCATACTTTTTTTTTTTTTTTTTTTTGAAAAAAAAAACAGTATTTCCCTTTGATTCATCAAAGACTTTTTGACACACATCAGACATTTCAGAGACTTTTTGACACACATCAGAGACTTTGACACATACGTATTAAGATTTAGCTTCAAAGGAACTGGCATACTATTCAATGTATATTTAGAATAAATTGCACAAACATTTTTCCTCCTCACTATGGTACCTTGTGGAGTTTCTTCTACAATGGACATGTGGTTTAGTATATATTGTCCATAAATAATTGATTTCTAGTTTTATTAGAGTTTATTCCAAATAGGAAGTGTAGATAACAGTGGAAATAATGATTTGATGTGTAAGATGTCTCCTGTCTCAGCTGCACAATCTTCCAGTGGAGTGTACTGTACTTGAGGTAGATAGTATGGAACATGGCGTGAACACTTCATTGTAAAATAAATAAATATATATATATATACTAGCAAGCATTACAAGTATATGTATACATTATTGTAAGATATCAACAGAATGGAAATACATGTGTCGTATGACAGTAAGATTTTTTCTTGTTTTTTCCCCAATGTAATTTTTGAATGCTGTGTGTGTGTGTGTGTGTGTGTCAAAATTCTTACAAAGTAGCAAGTTGCGCCATGGTATGAAAGATACATGGGCTTAGATAAAAATCTTAAAAGCTTTTTATTACAGCTTTGATGTTTTCAAAAATCTATGCCAAAGCAAATCCCATGTCACAGTATCTGACTGTGGTTATCAGGAGTAATTAATGTAGACAGCTGCCCTCAGTATTGTAATATGTGATAATTTCCCTAGAAATTTTGGTTATCACAACTTCACACAATTACCTTTCAAATGATAAAAGGAATGTCATACGTTAGCCATAATCTTCATTATGTGGTTATCATAAAATGGCCTGCTCGGGATGTTGATGTTGGGTAGAGGAGCATGTTCCATGTTGTAAGATACAAGTTGTGATATTGATTATGGGGCTTCATTTTCATGTGAGGGTATCAAGTGAATACCTTCAATAAAAATTCCAATACGCAAAATATTACACCAGTTTAATCCCAGCCTCATTGGTTTTAATGAGTTTGGATATTGATCTGAATATATGAGTCTTATTCCATACATTTATTACATTGAGAGGGGGTTTGTTGGCAAATTGGTGTAGGAAGAAGCGGGTTCTGAAGCAAATTGCGGGTAGATCATCTTCCCTATATAGAACCTTCACTTAAAAAGAGATTTCTTGGTCATTTATAGATGACTTCAAAGGGTACAAAGAAGTTCTCAAAGGTCAGAGCTATTCAACTTGCGTTTGGTCTGACTTTTTTGAAAAAGGCATCGTTTTTTTTTTTTTTTCTATCAGCGACAAAGATGAATGAGTTTTTACTCTAATTTTTGAATAACGATGACTTCTGTTGCACTGACGATTGAGATCTAGGGAAGAGTTGGGACATATTTTCGTCCGAGGGGGAAATATGATTTCCAAATTCATTAATAAGTGTTCATAATTGCTGAATAATCGTTCAAGGCTTAGAGCGAGCACTGCCTTACACCACTGCTGTAGTAAATATGACTGCTAATTTTGCACCCCCTTCCTCTTTGGATATGGAAAGAAAAGAACACAACCTTAGGTAGGCCAGGTGCATTTACACAGTTTAGTCGTACACTGCGCTTTTTACCTATCATTGTAACATTGTGGATTGGCATGGCTTCAACACCAAGTCTGATTTTTAACTGTGAGACAAATTTTGTTTTCCCACTGTAAGGCCATTTATTCCCGACTACTGTTACTTTATTTTCACAAACCTATCTGGTCGGGTTGTTGGAGTGTGCGTACAATGGCGTTCATGATTACCACCGAGGCCAATTAAATAAAGGACCGGTCTTAACTTTTAAACCGAAAATTTCCTCCTCTTTGAGACAAAATAAACCGGGAGTAATCCAATTAAATGAATACTGCAAATGTTTTATAACAAGACAGACATGTTTTATGTCTCTGATTATAATAGACCAAGCCGTCACATTCATATGGAATAAAAATAACAAAGTACATGTGATATTTGTCTGTAGCTGTAGGGTGCAAACATCAGCATGCCAACGGAGGAAAAAGATACTTAAAAACTATAATCAAATAATGCATTAAGTACAATGACGTTCATTAAAAATACTTTTAAAAATAAAATCTGATACCGAGAAGGCTTAAATATCCTTGTGATGACGTGTCGGTGATGGGTGCAGCATACTCCCTCCATTGTAAGGCTAACAATAATTGTACTTAACAAGTGCCATCATTTGTTCATCGTTTCTACAGTTCACCAGTGCAAGGGGGTAAAGGACCATGGTGACTAATTTGTATAACTATCAGCATTTCAGTGACAAATTCTGGAGTCTGAATTGGGAAATATTACAAGTTTCACTCGACATACCTATGACTGTGGGGGATTTTCAAACGCGTTGGGAGAACCTCTAGCAATTCATTTTGGCGGGAAAATCACATGGAGAGATTCTAAAAGCAGGTGCACGATCTATCATCCACAGATTAGGTCGTAAACTACATCACGGTGACGTAACAAACATCGTAATTTTCAAGCTAACTAGAGACTGTTACACCAAGACTTTAATGGTGTAGCATATGAAGTTTTTTTACTTGTTTTTTTTCTTTTAACAGTTCGCTGAAGTAACAATTTTACCTTCACTATCTATGCCCAGCTAAGTCACTGAGTGCGAGTGATACAGATGTTACTGACAGATAAGGTAGACGTTCGATTTCTCAACATCTCTCTTCAAAAGAAAATGATTCAATTAACATCTTTCCAAATATTTTTTTCTGTATTGTTTCATGGAAAAAACGCAGTGCAAATAGGATTACGAATGTTTTGATTAGTTGTGGAGAAACAAACTTAATTTACGAGATATTAAAGAATCCATGATACAAGAGACACGCTTCAAAATATTACAGGGTGTAACACAAAATAAGACCACTCAAGAGAAAAAAAACATATCATAAATAAAAATCACGTAAAATTAAGGCACTTGTCATTTCTGAAGACTGAATATTTTTTCCTTAGATTCCGTGCAGCTAAGACTTGAAAAATATTTTAAGGGAAGACCTAAGGGATAGTGCCCTTCTCTTTCCGGCAATGAGAAAGATTCACGTAAAGAAAAAGAATCTGATGCAGAGTGATTGAAGATCATAAATGCAGTAAAACAGCAAGCATTTGGGGGAACACCAAATAGTCTGCTGTGCTGAAAAGAGTAAAATTAAACCTTGCTATTTACGTGAATTCTCTCCACGTGCTTGATAGATGTTTGTAAGATTTCATCGACATTGCGCCCTGCGTGATCCTATTACTACAGCCATCTTCAATCATGGATAACGACTAATTACATTATTGGTGATAATATCAATGCAAAACGACAGAGAGTTTTTTTCTCTCACCAAACAACGTAGGCTAAATATATTTGTTTTCGCTTCACTGAGAAATGTACAGACCTCAGCCACTGATCATACACATAAAGTAATGGACTAAAACTTGATCATTTTGCCCTTCGTTTGCCACAAGTATCTGTGCACGTGTCACGGCAATAGTTTAAATGTCAAGATGAATAAATTCATTTTATTCATTCTACCCCGCACCCCCCCCCCCACTTCTCCAGTTGTGTCTTCTTGTAGGGCCCACCAAACACTAGCTTTGTGCAACCGTTACAGTTAATGGTGCCGTTTTAAAAACCAATAATTCAATGGCTTAGTACTGCTAGTAAACTGCTATTATAATTGTTGAATTGACTTTTTTATACCTGCACCCACTGTCTTTTCTCCGTCGTTAATTTTTTCAAGAAAAAACATATCTATTAAATTGAACTTCATATTGATATTTGTAAATCTATTGATTTCGGTTCTTCGACATTTTATATCAGATGATTTAAACAATGCTCACAAAATAAAAAAAAATTATAGGAACGCCACTACACCTAGCATTTACATTGCTTTTATGTTTTCCAATAAGATTGTTTTAAAGGCAAATCTATTCAAAGCATTTATTTTTAATTTAGCACATCCGTTCTGCAACCAGTGCTAGAAAATGCCTAATATACTTCCCATTTGCTATTTCTGTTACATTGTCGTCTTAATGTTTCCGTAAATGAAAGCACAATTACGGTGTTATACAACTCGTGCAGAGAGAACAGAGAGAACTTGCATGTCATTCAGCCCGTAGACAACTGGGGTAATTAAATCGAAGACTAGTGGAAATTCGAACTATTTATAGCAAGTTATGTTTTAAGGATATTATCAAACTTCGCCCAAAACTCCTTATTCACTTATATACATTCTTTTGGGTAATAGATATATGTTCAGTGTTCAGTTACTAATTCAATTAACATTTACATATCTGCACGTCCACGGTACTAGGAAACAACATTGAGACATGGGGTACATGGCGCCGATCTTGTGAACACGTTTTCCGCTTAGAATATGCATCGCATTTTGCCTAATATTCATAAAGTTTGGAAAATGTAACATAAAACACAAAAAAAAAATATCAGGGAAGAGTACAATTAACTTCACTGAGTTGGGAAAGCTCGCTGAATCAGCAGTTAAACAGCGATGACATGAAGTCGTTTTTTTGTGAGTTACACGCCAAAAAGTGGGTACCGGATATAGCTAATGTAATCAGTCTCATTTAATATCCGTGTGATCATGTCATTACGTCATCAGTGGAAATCTCCACTCTTTACGCTAAGTCCCTGGTCCGAATCTGAATGGGAAACGAAACTACACGCTAGCTGTGGTTTCGTTGTCGTGCGATTATGGAGGAAACGAAACAGGATTGGGTTATAACATCTGTGAATACACGCTCAGATGACAGAATTTCCTTACACATTGTTGTTTTATGAAAAGCTGACTGTATTCCAGATATTTAAATCCCGAAATTGAACGGTTTGTATAGTTCACGTGTATGGGAGATTTGTACTGAAGTTGAAAACGGACACGATAATAACGCACAAGAACCTGTTTTGTTCACCCATCAAAATTTGCGACGAAGAGCAATTTTTGTTTTTCCCTAGTGTGTGTGCTGTAAATGATCCCTGATATGACAAAAAATGACAAAACTTTTCTGAGAGTTTTCTTTTCCACAATGTCTGTGTCACAGATTTAAGCGCTGTTTTAGTGACATTTTCGGCTAATAATTAAAAGTTTAAAATACACAGCAAAATTTGGAAACACAAAATTGTTTGTGATAATAAGACAAATCCATCCCCTTTCACATAATAGCACCCCACTGTAATCCAACACAGGAATATTTTGAAAGACTTTCAAACATTATAACCTATTCATGTTACCCAGTAGCATGGACGTGCATATATATATATACAGTATGTCATATACAGTATGTCATCTTACGGGTGACGTCATAATTGCGATTTGGGGGTAAAAACTGAAAAATCGGTTTCAAATTTCTCTTTTAACTGAGCACCCACGATCGCCGCCTCAACGACGATTCAATGATCCAGCGATTTCTCTTAAAAGTCTTAGTTCATATTTTATCGTTGATAAAGCAAAATAATGCCTTTGTTTAATGAAAATCTGTAATTAGGGGCTCGCAACTCCATAACATAAACATTTAAACCAAAATGTCGGCACGGAATTGTAGCCCATACACTCATGGTTAACTCTTGACTGATTTTAGCGACAACGCTATTACTCCGCTCGGGTTATTTAAAGTGTCTGCTATAATGCAATGGGCATTTACCAATTCGTTGCGTAATTTATCTGTATCAACGCAAATAGTCCAAAGGCTTGCTGTGGTTCGCCCTCCTGATTCAACGTGGTATTAGAAGAAAGAGCAAAACGAGATACATGTATAACTTTACTTTAAATAATTCCGATAGACAGAGAGATCGTTCTCTGAACACAATGATATCGCTGAAGTCCAATATGTAGCAGGAAGTTCCGGTAGGCCTACTATGCCGAAGGCAAAGAGTGGTAAATAATTCCGAGTTGAAGCCTAAATTTGATATGAGTGTAATATTGAAACTAACCAGGTTTTACAAGGCATTCAGGAATGTGAAGTACATTAGTTGAAATCACGCATGGATTCAGTGATTGGCCAGTTACGGTCCATTCCGTTCTAAAAGCCGCTTGTACCTGTCACATTGTTTCCTCCCTCTTGGGACTTCAAAGATGGCAGGTGCAGTGCATTTCTTGATTAAACTAGCAGTAGGGTGCAACGAAATTTAGACGGATTGTTGGCTTGAAATGCAAAACATTGATGTACAGGCAGTGATAATTATCATTCCATCATACATGCTACTGGCAAGAAAAATTAAGCGATCTTTTATCACTTGTACAGGCTTATATAGGCTAAAAGCCAAGTTTCTAGCGTTGGTGTAATAATCTTTAAAGACTTAATAAGCTGCCTTAAATTCCCTTTGAATGTGCATTGCCGCGTCGTTAGCACAATTGTGCGTTCATCAAATGAATTTATTTAAGTACGTTGTGATGGTCCTTTCAAGATTTCATTCGATAGATCGTTGCCATCTAAACATCTTTTTTTAATAAGTTGTGAACCTTGATCTCTGTCAGAGGTTAAAAGGTCAGTTACGGCGACCATGAATGCTTTTCGTTCAGTGGTAGGGCAGAACAGGCAAGCGAGGCTGCTGCAACCAGAACTTTGTTGCTGTTAGTGAATTGAACTCGCCCCGATATTCCGCGATGCTTGTTTAACGGGAAATTTCAATCTGTCAGAGTGACGTACATAACTATTCGTCACTCACGCCAGTCCAAGAGCAATAGCGACGCCTTCTCATACGTCTCGGAATCCGTCACCATTTTACGCATTTTTGTCATACTGTGTGGGAAGGAGCTTCAGTATAGCTTTCACTTCAGAATCATTCTAGGACTCTTGGACTATCATTTTTTTCATTTATTGGAAGCATTCTAAAGCATTTTACCTTTAAAAAGAAATTACTGATAACGCAGAACAGATAGAAAGAATGATGCTGGCAACGCGACTCAATGAGACAGTGCAAAATCTATCATGTGTTGATACTATTTATTTCGTACAGAACGGGTCTATCACTTTTTCTCAAGCTATGGAATTAACAAACATAGAAAAATGTATCAATCATTTTGGCGACCACCCAATGTGGCTGCAAATAGCCGTGGTGGTATCATGTCTCATAATGGTTACGGTGGCATTCCTTGGAAACACGGTTGTTATATGGTTGATTTTGACATATCGTATCATGAGGACAGTCACCAACTACTTCTTGCTCAATCTTGCAGTGGCTGATGCTATGGCAACTGTATTTAACACCATGTTTAATTCTATCTATTTTTTCTACGGGAATCATTGGAGGTTTGGCAATGGATATTGTACCTTTACACTGTTCGTCGCCCACTGTACCGTGTCCGTGCATGTGTTAACCTTTGTGGCTATTGCCGTCGACAGGTAAGCGTAGCTTTAGTTTAGTTAATGTGTATTCATCTTTNCCATGAACAGAGATGAAGGAGCACACAAGCTGTCCCATGTGTATGACGACATTCTCAAACCCACCCTGGGGGGAGGGGGCGAGAGGGGCTAACAAGTCATCATCAAGACTGAGATAATTACCTGTTCACCTTCACCTGAACAGGTAATTCAGTTGTGACCAAGTCTGTCAGAGTGAACAGACGAAACAGTCAACAGGTAAATCAAATTTCAGGATCTAGCATAAATGAAACCTTTCTGACTATCAAAAACTAAGATCCAATGAAACTATTTTCACATGTGCAGTCAAGTTTTTAATATGTCAGTGCACTAAGACCTTAAACATTTCGGACAATGCACATACCCTATTTCCAACTACCATTGGATTCCTGCATTGGTCCAGATACAAGATAAAAGATAATGCGGGTTTTTGTTCTTGTCTATACCTGGAAGTTTCATTCCAGCTGAAGGGTAATCATGCCCATGTCACCTCCCACTGGCTTTGACAGTCTTGAAAGCGAGAAAAGGATAAGTAGACGATTTTGCCCTTTTTAAACAAGTGGGGCTAAGGATGTATGTCTACTTCATGTAGAAACACTTCACACATAGCAATGGGGGAGGGGGCTAGGTTACAAAAATGATTTAATACAATACTTACTGTCAATGGATGATGCCGGTTTTCACAACTTGGCTGCATTATAATGATACGAAAATTCTAAGCAAATCTCAACACACACACACACACACACACACACACACACAAAAAAAAAAAAAAAAAAAAGGTTGTTGTGGAATGAAGAGGCACGTTACGGATGGCATAAGCTTTGAACAGTGTGGTAAGTAATCTGATTACTGATTATGTATAGACTGTGTTTGTTCACAATCAGACAACTACACACACGCGATTATTCACTTACACCTAGGAACCAACAGATTAACTTTGTCTGATTTACCTTAGTTTGAACTTAAGACAAGAGAGACTACATGTATTTAAGCGTCAGGTATAGCTAGTTTTGTGATTGATAGAAATTGTATACCTTTAAAGGTAAGAAGTCTAATTTAAAGATTGAGTTTGGATAAAACAAAACATTGTATTAGTAAAATTCGTGATTTTATTATTATTATTATTATTATTATTATTATTATTATTATTATTATTATTAAGGTAGATCATATTTATCAGGCAAAGAGGGTGAACAGTGACTATATATTTTGTTTGGACAAAGGAAAAAAGTTCAAAACTTGCGGAAGTGTGCTAAGAAAAATTTTGGTGATTGGAAAAGTTGACATTGGACAATAAAAAACGTTTACTTCTTGTGGGGTTTTCAAAAGCATACACTCAAAAAGGATGTCCCACCTTTATTTCCATGTGTTTTTATTTTCAAATGATCACCTCACGGGTGAAATTGTTATTAACAGTGATTTTTATTCCAGATGCCATATCTAATATGGCTTATAGTACAAAAATAACGATGAAGATATCAATATATTATACCACTTATTTCAAGTTAAAACATGTATGCACTTAAATTCAATGTTTCTCTTATATTTCCATAGAGGTAAAAAGATGTCCATCAAAGTGAAAAGACACCACCAAATGTCACCAAATTTACACACAATTAGCATTAGAATGTGTCCGTCAAAGGTCACGTATTTCATAGCTAGCGAGTATGTCTATCGCGTACTGCAATTATCTCCTGCAGGCGAAGCAACATGGTAACGATTCTGTGTCAATTATAATAATCTGGAGTGGGATTTAGCATCAATTGTCACAATCTGCACGTTGAAACAGGTCAAAGTCAAACCAACGCCAGTTGAAAAAAGAAAATGACAAAATTGCCAAACCGGAGTTAAATGGGATGGAGAGTACTTTATAATTACTTGCCCATTGTACATGGCACACAGAGAGGAACTCTTCCAAGTGGCACAAAATGGAACCTCGCTTTACATATCTAAACAACAACGACAAATCCACAGTCCTTATGAACAACTCAAACGAGACAGTGATAATATCTTTGGCTAAATAACTAAACCTCTCTTTTGAGAAAGTAAACTGTGCTTCATCTTCCACTCAGTAGCGTTCGTTGATAATTGCACTCACTGTTAAGGTTTATTCCAATATACTAGAAAGTTATTGTTTAGATATGTAGAACTGGTAGTCAAGAACGTAGTGGTATTATTATATATCCCTGCACATTTTCACCATCTCAGTGTAGTGTAAATAATATGAATAAAGATTACATTGCTTGATATGATAATGTTCTTTCTCGATGCATGCTTAGAGATTTCACAAATATATTTCTGATGAAGATAAGACAACTCTCAAATTTCAAGCGACACGATGGAAACTAATGTCGCCTTGGGATAACAGTAGGAGTATTATTCATCATACCAGCCGTAGAGGCCTTTTCCGTCAAGAGGTCATTGTGAGATTATCTGCGAAGGCCCACTGTTTTTTCTGTTTAGATTGGTTTTAAGTATGAAAAAGACAAGATCAGGATCAAAATAAGGCAGGTTTTGTGATGCACTTAATGCACTGGAGTAGATATTTGCGACAGATGTCAAATTATTCTGTCGAATTTGAAAATTGATCGAGAAAACGCCTAGGTCAATTTGCCTTGAATGCCCGTACGGTCCCCATATACTGCTCGTATTACCTTTTTTTGTGCGGCGTCCGTGTGGAGACAATCGTACGGATTCATAGTCTCCAGTAGCCTCTACGAATTTGTTAAAATTCCTTTTTCCTTCTAGAAGTTCTGAAAAACTTCAAGCCTTTGTGAAACATAAATTAATTTTCACTCATTGATAGCAAAACAAGGTGAAGCAAGTATCATAACTTGAACAGCAAGTTGAAACTTTTGAACAATTTCTAAAATTGTAAGTCCTTACGTCGTAGAAATATCGTTGATTGCATTGCGCAGTTCCCGCACGGGCATTGTTGGTGGAGTTGCCGTGTTTGTGATGGTTCAACCTATGGTTGGTCTTTTTTCCTCCCCCTTGTTGGTTTTAGGAAGCATAATAATTGCAAAGATTTTTGAAACTTAAACCTAGATAACGTTACATTTGCCATACGATGTCCGGTAGTTGCTTGTATATTGCCCGTAGTCCTAGTTCGTGCGGACTCTAAGCGGAGGCAGACATTGGTAGTGCGACATCGTACGAAATCGTACGGATTCACGGCTTCCGTATCCTCTACGATTTTGTATAGCTAAAACTTTTGACAAAGTTTTAAAAATCGTAAGCCCGTAGCAATATCGTAGATGACATGGGCAGGACCCGCACGGGCATTGTTCGGTGGACTTGCGGTGATCGTTATGATAATGGTGTAACCTGTTGTTGTTTTATTTCCCTTTAACCTTTGTTAGTTTTAGGAGGCAAAACAATAGCGAAGATGTTGAAAACTTTTTTGTAATGCATGCATGGGTTTGAATTTGTGTGTAAGCTCATTTTGATCATTTTGGCGCTAAAATCGTATCGATTCTCGAGGAAGCCGCACGGAAGGCGTAGGCCTACGGCAACTATACTGAAACTAAAAGGGCTCCCATAATCACCTTTCAACCGACAAACCGATTTTTAGTCTTTAAAGTGTCCTTCGATATCGTTTCAACCTATTTCCGAACTGCAGGAGCCTAGCAATTAAACCTCGAAGCAGAGATTTAATCCCTTTAAAGGCGCGTGTGAAGTCGGGGAGACCATCAGGAATCAGCGGCATCACTTTTGAACTGTGGTCGGCCATATTAAGTCGGCGGATCAGTAAGTACTCGGATCATCCATTCTGAATAGGGCCAATGACATTGCATACGTAGCTGAGTTCATGGCGATTACTTTAAAACCGGTTTTGTTACTCTAATTCATTCTCAGTTGGCTCTACAAGGCCAAAAGTGTCAAACTGCTCCAACTAGCCCCCGTCTCCCCTATAGACAGTCTCATCAAATAGTATTTCTTTTTTATTCTTAAGTTAGAATAATGCTGACATTCATAATAAAAATCATAATTATCCTCAACTCCAGTGCTACAGTAACATATTTTCTCATTATTTTCTCTCACCCATGGCGTTCACGCCGGACAGGCCCTGTGACATTAACCTATTCAAAGCCAGATAAGCACTGGAATAAAAACATGAACTGTACAAAAACGGTCAAGGTCACAAGAGGTTGCGTCAAATTGAGTGCCTCTTTTGGCTGGTGATACGGTCATCTTACCGCATTGACAGGAATTAGGCCCAGCCTAAGCGTTCATATCACAGTATAAGGCATAGTTTAATACTTAAAGGGGCCATTCAGAATAGAAGATCCAAGTATCAATTGGCCCAAGGCTCAAATATGGCGGACCCTGCACGAAAGGAAGACCGCTTAATCCTGTAATGGTCTCTCTGCCTCTCACACGCCTCCCCAGGCGTCGTCCCTGAAGGGGCACAGTAATTAAATCTCGGCTCCATTCGACCAAACGCGTGGGGAGGCGTGTGGGAGGCGGAGAGACCATTATAGGATTAAGCCGTCTTCCTTTCATGTAGGGTCCGCCATATTTAAGCCTTGGACCAGTTGATACTCGGAGTGCATCAATTCCTTTTTACGCCAGCTAGCGTCTAGAGCAACCAAAAAAAATCTTCCACTGCTCTTTGTCACGGAATAGTTTTTGGATAGTTTCCCAGCTCTTTCCCAGTTGTTTCAACTCTGCCTCAACTGCCCTCCTTTTTTGTCTTTGGTCTGCCATTTTTTCTGCGTCTCTATGATGTCCAGTGCATAGCTACTTTTGTGTTGGAACTTATGTCACTGGTGATGCCAAATGGTTCTTCGTCAACACCGTGGCGTACAGGGATATTCTACAAAAGCATCTGATTCCAATGACATGTGCAATATTCCAGGACAACTTTCGCTTAAAGCATGACAACCCTCCCCCCCCCCACCCCCCACCCCTCATACTTCCCGCTTGGTAAGGTATTTTAAAAACCAAAAAATAATTCTGCTCATGGGCCACGCGGC